GCCCTGCCCGTCCCCCAGTAGCTTCCTGCCGAGCCCCTCACCACAGCCCTCCCAGAGTCCAGTGACAGCGCGCACCCCGCAGAACTTCAGTGTCCCCTCCCCGGGACCTTTAAACACCCCCGGTAAGTCGGGTTGGGGATGGGCGTAGCCTGCGACCCAGGGCCAATCCTGTCCCCCACATTCGCCCTGGGAGTTGAGATGCTGAGGGCAACGCCCTCACCCTCAGGAGGCCTCGCTTGTAAGGGGTGAGCAAACCCGAGCCCCTTGGAGCCCGAGCACCCCACCTTGGGCCTTGTGGACTGGCTGGGCTCACCAGCCTCTGTCCTGCAGTGAACCCCAGCTCAGTCATGAGCCCAGCGGGCTCCAGCCAGGCCGAGGAGCAGCAGTACCTGGACAAGCTGAAGCAGCTGTCCAAGTACATCGAGCCCCTACGCCGCATGATCAACAAGATCGACAAGAATGAAGGTGAGGGTGGGGCCTGCATGGGGGTTGGGGTGGGAGCGGCAGACTCCCAGGCTGCGTCTTAGTATCCCCTCTTCTGTTCCAGACAGAAAAAAGGACCTGAGTAAGATGAAGAGCCTTCTGGACATCCTGACTGACCCCTCCAAGAGGTGAGCATGTCCTCGGGCCCCCAGGGAGGGTGGTGCTACACCCACAGCTCATGGGCGCCCCAGGCTGCTGCTTGGCCAGGCTAGGACAATGCAGAGTGTAGAGAAGGGCCTGGGGCTCCACTTAGATGTGTCTGCTGAGGCTCTAAGCCCCAACCCCCACCTTTGCCAGCTGTGGGCCAGCCCAGCTCACAGCCCAACTCTAGCATCAGCTTCTGGGGCCCTCATAAGACAGAGCCTTAAGAAGCACTCGGGAGGCGGTGGAGTGCCAGGTTCTCGACACAGCGCCAGAGCTGCGCCAGCGCCACAGAACTGCGTGTGGACTGGCCTTCAGGTTACGTCCCTTGGCTCAGACTGTGTCTCCTTCCTGGTTTGCTTGTCTGGACAGAGTGCTAGACCCTGCGGGGCTGGCCTGTTGGAGTTTGATGGCCCACAGGCCTTCTTGGCTTGACCCCTCATTGGGCCTCTGGCCTACCTATGCCTTGTTCTGCTGATCAGGACTGAGCAGCTCCTGGGGTGGGACCACCAGGCCTGAGGCTCTGGATTCCTGTGGATGGTTCCAGTAGCCAAGGCTCCCGGCCTGACTGTCCAGGGGAGGTCAGATGGGAGTGGTTGGATTAGCACACGAGAGCTGCCAGTTCTCCCTCCTCTAGCACGGAGGGTCAGCCACGTACCCTCTCCCCACAGGTGCCCTCTGAAAACTCTGCAGAAGTGTGAGATCGCCCTGGAGAAACTCAAGAATGACATGGCGGTGGTGAGTGGGGTGCAGTGGTCTGGTGAGGTTCTGAAGGCAGCAGGGAATGTCAGGGCTCACCCGACAGTGACTCAGAACCACAGGCTAAGAGCTGCCCTCCCTGTCCAGGGTGGGCAGAGGGGGCTCACCACTCAGCCTGGGCACCCTGCTTGGAGTTTTCTTCCAGGTAGGTCTGCTGTGGGGGCTGGGGAGGTGGGAGAAATTGCCCTCCAGCTGTCGCCTGTGGGTGCTTCCTCCAACATCCAAGCTGTGGGTTTTCCTTTAAGCTGCCTCCACATCCTGCCTCCACTTGCCAAGCAGTAGGCCAGGCCCTGGTGGGAGGGGATCGGGGAGACTGTGTCCAGGATTGGCCATCTTTGTGTGCAGGGGTAGGAGGGGGTGGGGAGCCTCGGGAAGTGTGGCTGTAAGTAAGGACGAGGGCCTTGGGCTCAGGAGAGCCTTCCCAAGAGGAGGCTGCTGACCCCACCCATCCTGTCCCAGCCCACGCCCCCACCACCCCCGGTACCACCAACCAAGCAGCAGTACTTGTGCCAGCCGCTCCTGGATGCCGTCCTGGCCAACATCCGCTCGCCCGTCTTCAACCATTCCCTGTACCGCACATTCGTGCCAGCCATGACGGCCATCCATGGCCCACCCATCACGTATGTACAGCCCAGGGCATAGCCTTGAGGTGGGCGCAGGTGTGGGACTACAGGCCACAGCCTAGCCAGTGTGGTCACCACGATCGCCTCCTCCAGGGCACCGGTGGTGTGCACCCGGAAGCGGAAGCTTGAAGAGGATGAGCGGCAGAGCATCCCCAACGTGCTCCAGGGGGAGGTGGCCAGATTAGACCCCAAGTTCCTGGTGAACTTGGACCCTTCTCACTGCAGTAACAACGGCACCGTCCACCTGATATGCAAGCTGGGTGAGTACCGGGGAGGGCAGGGCAGGGCGGGCGAGGAGTAAGCCCAGCCCCAGGGCTCCACCATTTCTCCGGGCCATGGGGGTGCTAAGAACACAGCTTCCAGGCTTCGCCTCAGAACTGGCCCAACCCGGACTGTGCACTGTGCTCAGCCTCCTACAGACACCCAGGCTCACACCACAGCCCCAGGCCCAAAGGAGCTGCCGGCGTTGTCCTCCTTGATCCTTACACCCTGGCCCCGGGACATCTTCCGAGGCTGGACCATGAGCCCAGCACTGTCCCCTCCCCTGTGCCAGGGAAGTCCAACCCTCCTGTCCAGGGGGGGCTCTGCTTGCCTGAGGCCCTAGAGCCAGTGTCCTCCAGGCTTTGCAGCCTCACCAGAGCAGGGCCGTGAGGCAGGGTGGGCGGGTCATGGGCACAGCCTCTTGTATTGCAGATGACAAGGACCTCCCGAGCGTGCCACCCCTGGAGCTCAGTGTGCCCGCCGACTACCCCGCCCAGAGCCCACTGTGGATCGACCGGCAGTGGCAATACGGTGGGTGAGCCGAGAGGACAGCTGTGAGGAGTCCCTGCCTGGGACCCAGGGCAGGCAGGGTCAGCTCTGAGCAACCAGGGTTTCCTCCATGTGCCGCCCAAGCTGAGGCCCTCCCTTTCCTCCTCTGGTTCCCCTTTGTGGACAAGAGCAGGTTGCCCCGCAGCCACTGGAGAAAGAAGGGTCTCTGCCCCCATTGTGTCCCTTTGTCCTGCAACTTCAGGGCCTCGGTGTACAATAGCTGAGGAGTGAGCAGACCCAGGCCCAGCTGCTCAGTGGCCCTTGTGGGCCTCTGCAGGCTCACAGACACGCCCCCGGGCCTGCGCTCCCCCTGGCCTGGGGGGCAGACAGGAGCTTGGGCTCAGGGGAACCATCTGGGTGACATGGCGCTCAGAGGCCCAGAGGGCTTCGTTGATGAGTCCCCATGAGGCTCAGACCTGGCACACAGAGGACCAGGACTAGAGCCCTGAGGCCATCCCTGAGGGAAAGCCTGGGCTCCAAGTCCACTCATGTTGCAGTTGTCCAGCGACACTGGGCCTGGGAGACCTGACAGCCACCAGCGGTGCATGGGCGATGGCCTCCCAGGTAGCCGTGGCTGGAAGTGCCCCAGACGCCAGCTCTGCCTTTGAGGGCAGGTTCCCGTACAGGAGTTGCATGGGGCCGTTGTCCTGGAGGAGGGCCCAGTGCTCAAGACCCACTGCTCTGTTGCAGACGCCAACCCCTTCCTGCAGTCGGTGCACCGATGCATGACCTCGAGGCTGCTGCAGCTCCCCGACAAGCACTCAGTTACAGCCCTGCTCAACACCTGGGCGGAGAGCATCCACCAGGCCTGCCTCTCGGCTGCCTAGCCACCACCACTGCTGCATCTCGGGCTGCCAGCCCACCAGGGACCACGGGTCGGCTGGCAGCCTGTTGGGGCCACAGAGGACACACACCTTGTGTCGGACCCTTCTAGGTGTTGGCTCCCTAGAGCCTGGGCTTAGGTTAGCTTTCCTGCTTTTATCTTCTGCCTTGGGGACCTACCAAGCGTTCCCCACACTTGAACCGGACGGGACAGGTACCGGACGGGACGGGCTCTGGAGTCCTCTGTGGTAGGAGTGGCAGACACGCCCCGGGCCTGCGCTCCTCAAGCTGCTGTCCCTTTGGCACCTGCAGGGCCCCTGTCCTCCCTGACTCCCAGGGAGAAGTCAGGGCCCTGCTACAGCCCTTGTGTGTGTGCCAGAAAACACTCCCCCCGTTTCTGTAGGAAACCCTGAAGACACACAGAATTCTCTGCTCAGTGTTGGGTTCACATGGGGCCTGCCGCAGGGAGGCTCCCGCATCCAGGGGCACCCGTGTGTCTCAAAGGAAGTCTGGCCTGTGGATAGTTGCAAGTCACAACTACCAGCTGGACCTCACACCTCACGGCATGTTCCCTTCAAGCCCTGGGGCCTGCTCAGCACTGGGGGTCCTGGGGAGCAGAGCATTCTGGGGGAGCCCTGTCCCTGGCACCATGTGCACTAGCTGGGCTCACTTTTGGGTCAGGGTGCCATCCTCTGGACCTGGTATCCTCAGAGCCACTCTGGAGCGGGAGGGCTCCCTGGTGAAGCATCAGCCAGCCCTCTGGTTCAGAGGTTCCCCCTTTTGTATGTGCACTACTCTACCTTCTGTGGTTCTTACAATAAATTTATTATTCCTGTGTTTGTCATGAATTTGTCACTATGCCCCACCCCACCCCTGTGAGTCCAGAGCCTACTATTGAGTGAGGGGTGTTGTCAGGGCTGAGCCAGGTCCCCCACCTTGGAGATGGCCATGGATACCCAGACCTCAGTTCACCCTCATCTGACTGTCAAAGCCTCATCCTGGTTCACCTCCAGGTTTCTGGCAAAGTCCCTGTTCCCTGAAGCTGGAGGAGGCAGAGATTAGCCCTGAGAAACACCCACGAGATGTAAGAGGAAGCTGCTGTTCTGGCGATTGAGGGGTAGATGTGAGGCCCTCAGGGGGTGGGGACATCACGGGGTAGGCCCAGCACCCTGCAGAGGACCATTCTCCTGGGGCCTTGACTATGGCCCTTCACGGAGGACGCTGGGCTCAGCAGTGTGGCTCATCGCCGATGTCGGTGTGGACACAGATGTTGCCGAGGTAGGTGGACATCGTCTTGCCCTGAGGAGTGTCTGGTCAAGCAGACCCGAGTGCCTGTGCCCAGAAGGCAGCTCAGGCAGGAAAGGCCCTGAATCCAATAAGGGGTGCACACGAAGCTTGTTTCCAGGGCAGCCGCCAGCGCCGTCTCCCCCGCTCCCCATTATAGGGCGCAGAGCTGGGGGCCTCCCGGGCAGCAGCGCCTGACAGCCAGCGAGGGACTAGACTCGGGACTGGGAGAAACAAGCTTTATTCTTCAACAGGTGAAGTAATACTTTTAACACGCTCTTGTGTAAATGCAGAATAGCAAAATACTGAGCAAGAAAATAAACGTTTTTCAGTTCTCAGACCAAGGACTTTATCTGCTGTGATTTTGGTTTATGTGGATTTTTTTTTTTTTTTTTTGGATGCTGCCTAGAGAGGGTGAGTGTCCCCAGCTGTGACCTGGGCCTGGCCGGGACCACGGTGCAGGCTGCTCAGGGCAGGCGCTCAGAGCACGGAGCGGTGCAGCCGCCGGCTCTGCACCACCTGCAGCCGTTTCTGCCGCTCTGCAAAGTTATTCTTCAGGGTCTGCTTCAGTGCGGGCAGGATGGCGCGCTCTGACACGGGAATCGGGCTCAGGATCAGGCTGGCGGGGGCAGAGGGTGGGCAGCAGAGCCAGGACCTCCTCTCTGCTGTGCCCCGCCCCCTTCTCCTTGCAGGTGCCCCACCCATCCTGTGCCCCTGGACTCACCATTTCCTAGAGACACCCTTGGTGGGGACCTTGGAGAGCTGCATAGCTTCCTGGTCACTGGGGAAGGAAGAGGACGCAGTGAGCCCTGCACCACCAGCCCCTCCTGTGTTGGGGCAAGAGCCACACTGGGCACTCACTTGGGAGAGCTCGGGGCCGCCTCCTCGGAGGCAGCCCGGGATGACTTCCGGGTCCTTTCCAGGAGAGACTTGAGATGCTGCAGCTGGAAGACAGGGAGAAGGCATGGCGGCCAAGGCTGCAGAGCCGCCAGGGCTGCGCCCCACCACCCGAGCCTCACCTCTTGGGCCTGCAGGAGGTTGGCATTCCACAGCTGGCGGATGACCACTTCACACTGCTGGAGTGAGGTGGGTTTGCGCAAGTGGGGGGGCAGGTTCATCAGGCGGGGCACCCCCATCACCTGCTTGCTCTTGTGCTGGCTGCCTGCCACCCAGGTGGCGTCTGGATTAAAGGTCTCCACTTCATCTCTGAAACAGTCAGTGCAGCAGCCAGAGGTGGCCTTCTGCTGACCAGGGCGCCTGCACCGGGGTCTCTGGGGCCAGTGATCTGGGCCCATCTCTTCCTCCCCAGTGACCAGGTGCGCATGCGTGGTTCACGCTGTCCTGACCCCAAACTTGGTAGAACTGGTCAAGAGGGAATCTCCTGTCCTGCTGGCTGTACTACCTGGGGGACAATGGGGTCCCTTTTCTGGTGCAAAGTACAGACTCCCTGCTGCTTTCCAGGGAAGTTCCAAAACCTGGGGTGTCCTGCTGACTGTGCCTTCCAATGGCCAAGTGAGTTTCCCAGGTGGAGCCGGGAAACCTGACTCTATTCTTGGTGAAAAGCAAGCTCGTTTGGAGGTTAAATTTGAGTAAATGGTTTAGGGGCTGCTGCTGGCCCCTCTGGTGGGCTCAGGTCAGCACAGGGGCCCTGTAGGACCCCCAGCTTAGTTCATGCTGGAGGCCAGCCCATTTGGAAGGCAAAGCAATGGGCTGGTTCCAGGGTGTGAACCTTCTAAATGCCTTACCTGGAGGGCCTCTGTGCCACGGGGGCTTTGTCCAACTTGCTGCTGTGAAGCAGGGCAGCAGCCGAAGTCTTCTCTTCCAGGTCCGTCTTCTGGGAAGCATCCGTTTTTGAGTCTGTCTTCTTGGAGCTGGGCTGAGCCCTGGCCTTGTTTTGAGAGCTGGCTACAGGTCAGACCCAGACAGGGCCAGTTACTGCGGGCATCAAGCCTTTGTGCCCAAGTCCTCCAGGACCAGCTGTGTGTGCCCAAGGAGCCCCCGCCCCCTGCCTCAGTTTCCTCCTGGTAAAGGGGAGATGGTAGCAGAGCCTCCTGCTGGAAAACAGGAATGAGGGTCTGAGCATGAAGCCTGTGGGCGGAGCCTCCTGAACGCTCTGACTCCTGAAACAGGGCCAGTCTCTTCCCAGGCTTCCGAAAACGCTGGGGGTGGGTGGCCCTGCAGCTGTCCCCTGACTAAAGCAGAACCCCACTTGGGACAAAATGAAACTGAAGGAGAGGTCCTGATCCAGCTCCCAGGTTTACGTTCCCAGAACAAGATCCATGGCCTGCCTGGGTCCAACTTAGAGCCGGGGCGGCTCCCGATCAGCATGCCTGCCTCTCAGGAGGCAGCGTGGGGAGAAGAGGCTCTCGGTGCTGCAAAGGGCGCGGGGGCCATCGGACCTGCGTCCTGCCTGCTTAGCAGGGACACTACCAGCCGGGCAGCCAGCTCCCCACCCTGTCTCTGGAAGACACTCAGAGAGGCCGTCAGCGTCTGCCCACCACCCGCTCCAGGTGGGCCTGCTGTGGGGCCTTGTGGGCCTCGCTGACATCACTGTTTCTGCAGCCTCCCTCCCTCCGGCTGACCCACAGCCTGGTCCCATCCAGCTCAGCCCCCTTCTGGTGGTTTCAGCTCACCACACCCTCTTGGCTCCCTTTTGTTGCCCCTTAACCCTCAGGTCCTTGGGGCCTGGCAAAGGCACCATCTCCCCACCCCCAGGGCTGCCTAACAGTGGGGCACTTGCCCTCCCCCCCACACACTGAGGGTGCTGGCAGGCTCACCTGACATCACTGAGTTTGGAATGGGCTTGACGGCCTGAAAGTTGGAATTGGTGATGCTACCTGTGGGCGAACATGCAGGGTTCAACCCAGGATGGCAGCAAGGATGCTTATGTTCCACTTGCCCCAGCAGCTTCTGCACAGCAAGAGGCCGGGCCCTCCTGCGCCCGCCTCCTGGCCTTGCAGGCCCTGGGCCCGGGCATTCATGCAGAGCCCTCCCCGATGTTCTGGTGAGGCAGCCCCTGATCTAGCCAGTGCCTGAGGGAGCCAAGGCCACAAAGGAGGGGGCTTGGGGCCATAGAAGTAGGCAGGTCCTGAAGGCATACAACCTCTCCTGATGTCCCTTTGGGGACCCCCGCCCCCCCAACACACACACACTGCAGAACTGGGGCCGCTAAATGGGCGTCACTGTGTGTCTAGGACAGCTCACTGGAGCTGCTCTGCCCACTAAAGCCAGGCCCCCATATCCCATTCTCTGTGTCCCCCAAGAAGAAAGAGCCTTGGGCACCACCACCCCCCCCCCCCAGACTGGAGCACTCCAGGCTGGCACCACTCACCACTCAGTGTCAGGCCTGGCCCCAAATGTTAGTGGGGAGAACAAGCCCAAAGCAGTCTGGGCTGGGCTGGGCTGGGGGACAGGTAGAGTCAATGTGCCTCAGATGAGGGAGGACTTTGGACAAGTGGCTGCAGGTCTCTGTGTCCTGCACTTTCTTCTCCCAGACCCCACAGTTGCTTCTGAGATGGTAGGGAGGATCCCTGCCATCCCAGGGAGTGAGAGGCCAGAGCCACAGGGCTGGGCTGGGCTCCCCAGCATTTCAGAGGGACACAGGAGTAGGCCAGAGCAGCAGCCAAGTGAAAGAGCTCACCAAGGCAGTGAGGCTGGGGAAGGCAGGGGCAGGCCTGGGCACCCCCACCAGCAGCTGTTCTGCCCACTGACCCTACTGTTCAGACTTCAGGGCTTGGGCTCCCTGAGAGCGGCACCTTCTGTGCTCGTCACCCAGACCATGGCTGGCTGCGGCGGTGCCTGTCCAGATCCTCCAGGACCCCTCACCACTAGGACAGTGCGTGGGCCAGAGCAGCTGGGTGGGCACAGGCCGTTTAGAGGGGCTGCTCTTGACAGTGGTAACTTCCCATCGGGCACTGAGGGCCTCAGTCTTACCTCTCTTAATCGACTTCTGGTTCATTATTAGCTTGTAATGGAGCTCTGGAAGCAAGCACATGTTCTCGTCATTTTCAAAGCCACAGCCATTTGAGAGAAGCTTGGCTTGCCCTGCCCTGCCCACCCTCTCTCCGCTGAGTCCCCAAGAGGCCTCAGGGACCCTGCCCCATGGGCCAAGACTTTGCCTTGGGCTCCTTAGGGCTGGGAATGCCTCTGGCTGTTCCCTGAGCCAAAGCCCTGCATGAGAGCCTCACCCAAAATCCCACCCTTCATCCATGACGTCTACAGGGCACCCTCTGCCAGGTGGGGGGCTTGGTTCCAAGGGTAGAGGGATGAGTCACGATGACCCAGCTTTCCAGGAGCCCCTGGCCATGGATGAGCAGATGTAGTCAGTGCTACAACCAAGCGCCCAAGGCACGGCTGGTATCAGGGAGGGACTGGGGTGAGACTCAGGAAGACATGGAGAGCTAAAGTGTGAGGAAGGCCAGAGAGAGGGGCAGGGTCCCATGGTGGAGGCCTCAAGTTCTGCTTCAGGGGGATGAGGAGCCTCGAGGGGTGTAAAATTAGGAAGTGGGTCTGCCCTGAGGAGACACAAGGGCACAGGGTCCCAGATGTCTGGGGAGAGGTTGGATGGAGCCCAGGGATCCTACTGGGCCAGCATGTCTGCCCTAGATCTGGGTGTGCTTAGTGTGTGAAAGTTCACTGAGCTACTTTTGAGGGTATGTTTTACTTTTTAAAAGTTTTAAAAATGAGGTGGGCCTGGCCCTACCTGCAGAAAAGAAGGCTGACAGGGTGACTGTGGGAAATGATGCAGCCATACCCGCCCTGCCAGATGGGCAGTTGACCAGGAGGCCACCTTCTATGAAGACAGACCCATGACTGGAGAGGGGTTGCGGGGGGGACTGGTCTGGAGTAGGGAGCCTGAGCCCCGCGGTAGGACCCGGGTGGGCTTGCTGCCCTGAGTCCTCCCTAAACCTGCGTGTTCTTGAGTCCATGTACTGCTTCGGTGCTGGGGATAAGTACCAGGGAGGCGGGTCTTCTTGTCTCTCCGGTCCCACCGCGGGGGGCGCGGTGTCCCGGCCCCGCCACCGGCACTCACCCTTGTTCTCCCGCTTCAGGTGATCAATCTCCTCGTGGAGTTTGACTAGCGTCTCCGAGTGCTGCTGCTGCAGGAACTGCAGGCTCTTCTCCAGGTCCAGTACCCGCTTCTGCGCCTCGCCGACCCCGAGCTGCGCCGCCTGATGCCCCAGGGGGTGGAGGGCCGCGGACGTGCGATGGCGCGGGCGCTGTGCGCTCCGGGAGCTCGGGGTCTCCGAGCTGGGGGGCGGCTGCCCGGCCGCCGCCCCTGTTGTGTTCATGTCGCCGCAGCTGCTGCCGCTGCTCCTCCCCTCGGTGGCCGGGCAGCCCCGGCCTAGTGCCGCGTCGCCATGGAAACGGGCGCGACCTAAGGGGCGTGGCGTTAATGGGCGGGCGCGGGGAGTGCGGGTGGAGGCGGGGCCTGAGCGAGGGGGTTCTCTTTCTGCCTGGGTGAGTGGAACGTAACTTCAAAGGAATCCGCCCGAGCCGGCTTGCGCAGTGGGTAGCGCCTGGGCCTGCGTACTGAAGGGTCGCGAGTTCGAATGTACCTCAGTTGCAGGCTAAATCCCCAGCCCTGGTTCTGATCGGGGTGTTTCTCTCTCTGTCTCCCCCTCCCTTACACTCTTATCCTGGGGTGAGGATTAACAAAAGAAAGGAATCCTCCGGCCTGGCCAGTGTGGCTCAGTGGTTGAGCATCAACCAGGAGGTCACGGTTTGATTCCTGGTCTGGACTGGATCCCTAGTAGGGGCCCTGCAGGAGGCAGCCAATCCCGTGTGGCTCAGGAAGGCCCCCCACCCCCGCCAAGATCTTAATAGAATGCTGGTCAGCAGTTTTCCACGTGTGTCCTGTCAGGGTTGTGGTCTGCACTGATTGGTTGGCCGGCACCAGGGCAGGGGGTCATTATTCAATGCAGCTGGTCCTGCCATCAGCCTTGGATGGTTTTGTTGCTTCTCTGGAACTGAAACACAACAACAATGGAACAATCCGAGTCACAGTAAGAATCCAGGTCCTGGGTCTCGGCATCATTCTGTTGAAGGCAGCGGGAATGGTACTAGGTGTTTGACCGGTGGAGTCAGACCAAACCTGGGTTCAACAACCTCGGTACTTGGGTTCTGGCTAGGAAAGAATTCAGAGCCAAGAACCCAACTGTAAGAGTAAATTGGGTAAATCACAGAGGTAGAAAAAGTAATTCCTAGAAGAAGTGGGTTTAGGAAACAAGTTATAGAGGTAAAGGAAGGGCCCTTGGAGCTTGGGAGTGAGGAAGCTAATGGTAAAGTGCCTGGGGCTGGGGGTGGGGGTGGAAGAGGGAGGGAATGGAAAGGGGAAGGTGCCGGCGTGGTCCCGGGAGGGAGAGTGTGGCAAACTTTAACTTGGGGTCACTGTGCTGGGTCAGGTCCCCATGCTCCCCACTGGAAGCCGCTGGCACCCACCCCAGCCACCCATTCTGCTCCTGGCTTCTCAGGCACAAGCCACGGGGTGCTGCAGGCTATCCTTTCATACTGCCTGCTCCCCCCAGATACCACCTCCCAGCCCCTGACCACTGGAAGCCAGTCCCCTCCTTGACCTTACCATTCTTAGTTCTTCATGATTTCTAGGCCCTGCACCATGAGGTCTTAGAGCAATGGGTGGTCCTGCCTACTATGTCCCCAGTACAACTGAGGGTGCACATAGTAGGTGGCTGTTTCACAGTTGATGGATGTGTGGGCGAAATAGAGATTTCATTTTTGCTTTTTTAAAAAATAGATATTTTTATTGATTTCAGAGAGGAAAGGAGAGAGATAATAAACATCAATGATGGAAGAGAATTGATTGGTTGCCTCCTGCACGCACCACGGTAGGGATCAAGCCTGCAACGCAGGCACGTGCCCTGACTGGGAATTGAAACGTGACCTCTTGGTTCATAGGTCGACGCTCAACCACTGAGCCACGCCAGCTGGGCTCGTTTGTGCTTTTGAGGGTGTTGGAGAGTGTTTTCAGGTGAAGAAAACAGCGCGAGAGAACAATGTGGACAGGAGGGTTGTGCATGGAGATGGTCAAGGAGAGGATACCCCATCCTTGTGGGCAGGGATGGACTTCCATCAGGGGGAGCAGAGAAGGGGGTGTAGTGGGGAAATGGTGCCATTGACACCTGACCCCAGGCCACCATCTCCTGGGGTGTTCCTATCGCTTCTCTTGACTTAATGAGTCTGGTAATAAAACCAGTAATCTGTCAGTGCTGCACTTGGGACATTTAACCCTCAAGCCAGCCTCACGAGATGCTCATGCGGGGCTGCTAAGTGCACAGTTCCCAGCTGCACGTGACCCTCAGCTTCCAGAAGGCAGAGGCAGTACAACACATGTTCCAGGATCACCAGGTTTGTGTGTGTGTGTGTGTGTGTGTGTGTGTGTGTGTTTGTATTAAAGGGGACCCTGACCTGTTGAACAGAAAGGAAAATTCTCTTAGCTTAGACCAGGTGTGGGGAACGTCTAGCCCATGGGCCATATAAGGCTCTCAAAATCATTTGGTCTGGCCCTGCCAAGGCATTAGGGGTGAGTTACTTAAATGTTTGACCAAATATAGCAGGCTAATTTTTTATTTTATTTTTTTACGTCTTTATTGTTGAGAGTATTACAGATGTCCCCCTTTTTTCCGCCCCTTTGCCCCCCTCCACCCGGTTCCTGCCCCAGGCCTTCACCACCCTATTGATTGTGTCCATAGGTAAGATGTTTGGTTAATCTCTTCTCACCCCCTCCTCCCCCCTTCCCTCTGAGATTCCTCCTTCTTCCCCCTTCCCTCTGAGATTCGTCAGTCTGTTCCATGCTTCCATGCCTCTGATTCTATATTTCTTGTTCATTTACTTTGATTTTTAGATTTGATTATTGATAGATAAGTATTTGTTGCCATTTTATTGATAGATAAGTATTTGTTGCCATTTTATTGTTCATATTTATTTCCTCCTCTCCCCTCCTCCTCTCTTCAACATTTCACATAATACTAGTTTGGGGTGATGAACTCCTTTAGCTTTTTGGCTCAGCCTCCTGTCACCTGAGCTGGGCACTCTAGGGCAGTGCTCACCAACCAGTGGTCCACGGTTGGTGGACCATGAGGTCTGAAAGGTTGGCAACCGCTGCTCTAGGGTGCCTCTGTGTGGGCTGTGTGCACAGTCTTGTAGTTGAGCCTTGGCTGCTGTTGGCGTCTCTGGGAGGAGTTGACCTCCAGGCCAATTGGCTGTGAGGACCAGCTGCAAAGACAGTGGGAGAGCTGCTGTGCAGGAGGCGAGGCCCAGCTGTGAGGCAAGGCAGGCTTGGCTCATGCTAGTGCTGGTTGTGGGCCTTTTATTGATGGGTTTGGGGCACACTGTCACCAGCTGCAGCTTGTTTGAGAGATTTTTAGCAAAGTCTGAAGCCTGAGCCAGGACAGGACATTCATATGGAAAAGCTGCTGCAAACAGCTTGGATGGGGCTGCAGATTGGATGGGGCAGGATTCAGGGAATCCCCAGGGCGGAGCAAACAGTGTGCTCCAGGCTGGTTGAGACTCAGATATGGCTGCCAGTCAGCCCTGCGACAGGGGAGGTCCCAGCACAGGAACAATGACCCCTGTGAGCACCCCATCTGGGTGAGAACCACCCCTGAGTTCCTGCCCTGATGCCAGACAGTCCAGTTCCTCCCTGTATGTGCCTGGGGAGGGCAGGGGGCAGAGGTCAGCAGGAAGGAGGGAGGGGCAGGCAGGACGGACATGGAATGGCTCCTTTGGTGTCTTGGGCTCGGAACTTGCTGATACGCACAGGGTTTGGTTTGCTTCCTTAGGGTCAGGGCCTTTGGCAGCGTGAGATTTGCACGGGGTTTCTGGGTTCTTTGTGTTATTCTTTCAGGTTCTCTAAGTTTGACATTCTTTTTTTTTTTTTTTTAAATATATTTTATTGATTTTTTTACAGAGAGGAAGGGAGAGGGATAGAGAGTTAGAAACATCAATGAGAGAGAAACATCGATCAGCTGCCTCCTGCACACCTCCCACCGGGGATGTGCCCGCAACCAAGGTACATGCCCTTGACCAGAATCAAACCTTCTATGCTTGGGAGGTCACCAAGGTTAACCCTTAATTCCCTTGGAAACAGGAACCCAAGTCGGAATCCCTCCCACCCTGGGTGACTGAAAATGTGTGTCATCCCAGGAATCGGTGACTTTCAGGGATGTGGCCGTAGACTTCACCCAGGAGGAGTGGGGGCAGCTGGACTCTCCTCAGAGGGCCCTGTACCGGGACGTGATGCTGGAGAACTACCAGAACCTTCTCGCCCTGGGTAAGAGGCTCCCGAGGCTCGGAGCCTGTGGTCTGGGCACACACCTCAGGTATCACTGAGTCCCCTTTCGTACCAGCCTGGCGTGGGGGGTGGGCTCTGTGGCCGACTGGCATCCGTGCCTGGAGGTGTGGCTGGACACAGGCGAGCCAGAACGAGAGGGAGAGGGAGAGGGAGGATAGCGTCCTGGAAGCCCAACCTGCCCTGGACTTTCCAAGGGAGACGAGTGGGGGGGAATACCCATGGGTTCCTCAGAATGCATGCCTCAACTTGGGTTCCCATTCTTCGACCCCCATCCTCGGGGACGGCCACACCTCTCAGTGCCAGCTCATGCTGTTCGGGGGCTCTCCTGCCCCAATGCCGGACAATCTAGTTACTCCCCGTATGTGTCGGGGTCCCCCAGTGCTGGATCTCAGAAGCGGGACAGTGCGCGGGCTCTTTAAGAGGAACAGGGGGATTCCAGCAGCCTGTGTCACTGGGCCAGAATTCCTGCTGGTTTTTATGGCCTGAGTTACTGGGACTTCCCTACCAGCTCTGGAACCCCGGGCTGGGGGGCTGGGATCCCTGCTTCTCATGGGCGGCCTCTGCGGAGACGATCTCCCTCCCAATTAAAAAGGCGGCTCAGTGGGAGCCGGGCCAGCCCATCCCGCCTCCACCCCTCGCCTCAGTGCGTCCTTCTCTCCTTCTCTGGTGAGGACTTCCCTGCAGCCAGCTTCCGGCGGTTCTGATGGTTGCCTGCATTTTAGTTGTAATTTTGATGTGGTTGTGGGAGGGCAGAGTACAGGTGTTCGCACTGCCACCTCGGTTCTCGCAGCAGGCTAATTTTTAAGTTGGTAATCTTGTGTGGCCTGCGAATGATGTTATAAATATCCAACGGCCCTTGGCAGAAAGCAGGTTCCCCAGCCTTGGCTTAGACCTAGCTTGGGGCTGTGCTGGCTGCATCCCAAACCTCTGGGGACCCATTATCCTCACCCCGGCCACTCGTGTCTACATCTGCTGTCTGCTGCTGAAGTGACTCCTCTGGCCCCAGGTGAGGGGCGACAGGACACCCAGCAGGCTGAGCCCAGGCACCGAAGACTCAGGGTTAAGAACGGGTTACAAGCCTGGTTGGATTTTTGGTCACAGGCTACCCAATACCACGATATGGAATTCACATCAAAATATAAAACACTCCCCCGCCCCCCACGAGATGGCTGGTTCAAATCCCTCTTCAAAGAGTTGTTCCCTCTGGTGTCATCTGTATAATGAAAGGTGTGAGACCCCGTGGGGAATTCTGACAGCGAACATGTAATTGTGTAACTTTAATATTTAAGTGGCATCAAAAGGTGACTGTCTTTGCACACTTGATTTTATTAAAGGTACAAACGCTTTTGATCATCTTTGGTTGTAGACCAGAAGCTGGCAGAGGGACCGGGCGGTCCTGTCTGATCCCCTAAGCCTGCAGGGGACGAGAGCCCGTCCTGAAGGACAAGGTGGTGACACGGGCCACCCCTGAGCGAGGTGCTTGCTGACTTGGGGGCTGAGGGAAGCCAGGTGTCCCACCGAGCACCCGAAGAACCCTTTCTCCTCAAAAGCAGGATTGTATGGCCCAGACTTCCCGTCGCGGAGAAGACGAGGAATAACCCTTGTTTTGCCAAGTGTGGTGGCAGATGTAGTTTAAAAATGAGGGCTCCAAGAATCGCCATTTAATGTTCTCAGGCATCGCTTTTAGGGCCTTTGGTCCTTCTCTGGAGCCAGAGGCTGAGCTGCTGTCCTGGTGTCACCCAGGGCGGAGATTCATGCCACACTGCCCGCCTCAGGACAGTGAGGCCGCAGGCCCCCCCGGAAGCACGGACTCCTTGGCTTCACATGGCTAAACCCTGAAACAGTTAAAAAGAGAAAAGCCTTGACAGCCATCTTCTAGCGGAGCCTCCGGCTGAGGAAGGAGGAAGGCCCGTGGCCGGCCCCGGACTGTCCCCGTCCCACGCAGCTCACGGGCCCTGGACGCTGCTCTCTTCCTGGCCGAGTCTGGACTGTGTGCCCTTCTCCTTCGTTCTCTTCCAAACGGTTCGGAGGCTACAGGAAAATGCTCCCTGGAAGCGTGACGGTGACCAGGCTCAGGTGCGGAGGTGGCCTCCCAGGTACACGGGAGGGGCAGTGTGGGGAGAGGCTGGCTTGTGGTCAGAGTTGGTGCAGCTTGCCCTGCTCCGTCAGCAGTGTCATGGCCGCAGCGTAGAGGAAGTAGCCCAGCACGAGGAGCAGGGCAAAGGGCAGGGGCCCGATGCGCAACAGAGAGGCCACAAAGAAGGCCAGCAGCAGTGACAGCAGCGTCCGGTAGCTGCCCAGGAAACGAAGGCTGAGCCTGGGGCCCCGGGCACGGCTGGCCACACGCCCCTGCCCCACGGGGCTCAGCAGGTGTTTGTCAGTCAGCCCCGGCTCCATGAGGTGGTATCTACAGAAGCTGCCGAGGAAGTCAGCCCGGGAACACAGGGCTCTCATCTGGCCTGCAAACTAGAGCACATAGGCACAGGGGAGTGGGCAACAGGCAGGGGCCACACATTCCACCAGCCCCTCCCTGAAGCTCTAGGATGGAAGGGACGCTGAGTTGAGGATGTGGCTTCCCACCCCACTCACCCTGTGGTTGATGGTGGAGGACAGCCGGAAGAGCAAGCGGACCAGGCTGGCAATCTCATAGCTCCGGATGGGCTGCAGTTCCGAGTCCCCCTGGTACTCGATGTCAAACTTCCGCAGCCCGTTGATGATCTAGAAGCAGCAGGAGAGGTGAGCCCCAGGGGACAGCGAGGCCACAGGAGCCGTCCAGAAAACACACCTTTGCAAACAACTCAGCAAAGTTGTCTCTGATTATGGGGGACGGGGACAGGCTGGTGGGACCACCAGCTGTGCTATCTGGAAAGCCCTGGAGAGCCAGGCCCCTCTGGGACATGGGCCTTACCTGGTACCGGCCCAGGGGGGTGAGGATGAGTCCGTCCTCACCCACGATGCAATCCGGGAGCTGCTTCTTGCCGTTCTCATCCTGAGTTGTTCCCATGGCGAGTGTGAGCTGGGCGAGCTGGGCCTCGCTGAGCTGTCGGGGAGAAACTACTGCTTCAGTTTCCAGGTGAAGGGAGCAAACTGGTCTTCACCCCTCGGCCTCTAACGATGGGACCCAGACAACATTGCAGGCACAGCCTGCCTCTCCCGCAGGAGCCCAGGAGCCCTGTGTGGCACAGCCCAGGCTAGGTCCTGGTCTGTGGCTGGTCCCGGGCTAAGCAGTGGGGTGAGGGCACGGGACCAAATCTGGGGAGGGGACGGCCTCACGGCTCATACTCGGAACATCTGGCACAGGTACTCCAGGGCCTTCTCCAGGTACTCGTCTGTCTTGCGGATGCTGTCCTGCCCCATGTCGTCCAGGTCATTGGCTGGGTAGGAGCTGTTTGTGTCCGAAAGGCAGAAGCCCAGCCAGGACAGAAAAGGGCGACTGGCTGTGCTCTCCCCGCACTGGTCAGAGATGGACTTGGCTGTCTGCTTGGCCTGCGTGATGAGCTGAGCCAGGCGCAAGACCTGCGGGCAGACGGGAGGTCACTGAGCTCTGGTGGCCACCTCATGGCACCCAGCCCCCACCGGGTGGTCCCGGGGAAGCCCGCCAAGGGCCAGGAGGGTGGCTTCCACGTGACAACGATTTTCAAAAACTAAGGTGCATATTCTACATGACATTCTTTTTTAATTTTTTTTTATTTTATTGATTTTTTTACAGAGAGGAAGGGAGAGAGATAGAGAGTCAGAAACATCGATGAGAGAGAAACATGGACCAGCTGCCTCCTGCACACCTCCTACTGGGGATGTGCCCGCAACCCAGATACATGCCCTTGACCGGAATCGAACCTGGGACCTTTCAGTCCGCAGGCCGACGCTCTATCCACTGAGCCAAACCGGTTTCAGCTAAGGTGCATATTCTAAATGTGGGGAATTCCCAACAAACACTGCCTCTATTATTAGAAAAAAAAATTAGCCTTCACTGAACCTAAAAGGGGAGGAGGGAGTACTAGTGTCTCCTCAACACCTAGTCTTCCTCCTTCCCCCCAGGTGTGTGCACCTTCTTGGCTCACTGTCCCAGAGGTTCAGGACGGCCCTGTGACTGGCTGAGCCGACTCACTCACCAGCGTCCGGACCTCCGGCCCGAACATCGGGGTGTATTTGCAGTCCTGGCCTTCCAGGCTGTAGACATGGCTCTTCACCTTGAAGGAGGTGTCGGTGACGGCTGGCGGCCAAGACGACAGGAAGCTGCCGGTGAGTGTGGGAGCCGAGAAGAGTCGGTGCTGGCGGTGGGCGATGACGAGTTCGGGCTCCAGGAAGAGCTGCTCGCCTGGAAAGCAGGACGCAAGCCTGGGTTTGGCTTCCAAGGACACAGAATATCCAGTTGCTGCTGGCAGGGTCCCTAAGTGCCTCCTGAGTTCCCGAACGGCAGTGAACATGCAGCGAGGGAGCCCAGGTCCTGATGCTCTCAGAGCCCTGCCAGTCTCAACAGGAAGCCAACACTCGCCACGAGGTAGCATAAGAAGCTAACGCCCAACAAAGCTGGCTCAGACGAAAGCAGGACAGGCGCCCGACTGCCACAAGCCACCAGGGAGATAGCTCAGAGATCTGCACCCCGCTCTGCCAGGCGCACTGAGCTACGGGGAAGACGGGGTTCAGCCAGGCTCAGACCTTCATCTTGCTCTGGGCACCAGGATTCCCTACAACACCCTTTGCCAAGGCCCCCCACAAGCCTGTGAGGCACATACAGGGTCTGTGGGTCCCTCTGGCTAAGGGCTTACCTTTCTGGATCATCTCAGCCAGGTTGGGCTGGGCAAAGACTTTGGCCACTCGGAACACCATCAGTGCGTTCTTGGGGCTGACCAGGTCAGTGCGCAGCGCGCGGCTCAGGAAGCCCACGAAGAGCTTGGTGTACAGCAGCAGGTTCTCCTGCACAAAGGGCGCCCTGGGGACCGGCAGCTACTCAGGGGCCAGATCTTCCACACAGAGGTGTCAAGATCGGCGGCTGAGGGTCTGGGGGTGTCCAGGGAGGAGGCAGGACAGACTGACAAGGCCTAGGCCCCCAAGGACAATGGACTATCCCTAGAATGAGGCCCTTTCCGAGATGACCAGGGCACCAGAGGGGTGCCCAGGAGGAGGTGATCAGAGGTGCCGACGGAAGCCTGGGGGCAGGTGGGAGATGGTGGGGAAGTGCGGTGGCTGCTATGAACGAACTGGTGAGGAAGGTTTGGGGGTGAGCGTGAACATAGATCCGAGTGAGACGATAATGGCAAGGAGACAGGGGAAGAGGGTGACCTGCTATTTCCACAGGAAACCAATCCTAGGTGAGACACAGCAGCATCAAGTGGGGCACGGGCGGCCTGTGTTCCCCCTCAGAGAAGAGCCCTGAGGGCCCCGAAGCAGCCCCCCTGGGGGAGGGCAGGGTGCAGGCTCACCATCTCTCGGACACACAGCGGGCCTGGCCATCACTACCCTGAGGCTGCTTCTCAGGCGCGTACCTCCAGGGCTGCAGGTAGCTTAACCACATCTCCAGGACCTGGCGAGACACGTGGACACAGTGGGCTGTGGGGGCAGGCGTTGGGCCTGATCCTTGGGCCATCTGGCCCAGGAGGGAGCTGAGGGAGCTCAGGGAGCAGGGGCACGTTTCCAGCTGCAGGGCTTGCTCTGCAGGGGTGGGCAGGGGTGCCACCACCTGGCTTCTTTCTGCACTGCCCTGAGAGGACACATAGGGGTGTTCAGTGCACCCCTCGGATGGTCACTCTCAGTGTCCCCTCAGAAGGGGGCCAAGTGCAGCTCAGTGAGGCTAACGGGCCGACACTCACGGCTCTGAAGGACGCGTCCAGGGGCCAGTGGCCGAAGCAGTGCTGCAGGAAGAGGTAGAGCTTCTGCTGGACGAACCTCGGGACAGCAGCCCTACGGAGAGGAAGTGGGTCACCTCACAAGTGAGCCCAGCGGCTCCTGCTTTAAGGACCAGCTCTGCCAGGAGGGGCACTGGGTTCCCTCTGGGGCTGAGACTTCCTATTTTTAGCCCCATTCTTCAGAGGAAGAAACCATGGCTCAGAGAGGTAAGGGGACATTCCAAGGATACACAGCACACATGTAGCCAATCCAGTGTGGCTCCTGTACACTTGTCAGCTTGGCTCACCAAACAGCCCCTTCGCTGCCTGAGGAGGGGGAGGGGGCAGCATAGAGACCAATCTCCTGTGATAACTGAGCCACTCTGCTGAGAAGGGCCTCCTAGCCACTGGCCTTTTTGCCTGCCACTGGAGGAAGGGACAAGAGCATACAAGACAGGGCCTTTCCCTGGCCAGCCTGGCTCTTGGTGAATCGGCATGATGCTCTAACCAATTGCAGCCTGGCTTTCTACTGAAGAGGGCAGGCCTGGAGGGACAGGACATGGCAGCCAGAGAAGCAGCTGGATGCCCCACCCACCTTTGGGGCCAGGGCAGGGATGAGGAGACAGAGCCAGGAGGGGACAAGGTGAGGCCCCACACGCCCTGGGGAAAGTCAGTGGGCAGCACGTGTGCGGAGCACAAGGAGGCAGGCTGAAGCACAGCAGCCCTGCATACAGCCCCATACCCACCGTTTGAATTCCTCCAGGGGGCTGGTGGCATGGGAGTGGGCGGAGGGCGAGACCTGCTCGGGCTTCAGGCTGTTGGAAAAGGCGTGCAGGTGTTTGATCAGCAGGCGCACCACCAGCACGTGCTCCTCGGTGGGCGTGAATGACTCCTAAGGTTGAGAGGGTGTAGTGTCAGGATCCAGGTTTTCTGAGCTGGAACCCCCAGGTCTGAACACATCCCAGCAGGGCCCATCTCTCTGCTCTCCCCACAGGATGCGTGGGCCAGGCTGAAAGCTGGGCCACCTGGGGCCCCACCCATACCGGCCACCCGGTGATGACCCCGGCACCGCAGGGTCCGAGACAAGCTAAGAGTGGCGAAGCCTGCACAGTGTGCCTTGGGACAGCTGCTAAAAACCAAGGTCCAAGTGCTTCTCTACAGGCTTCAAACCCCTTTCTCAAACCCTCTGGGGGTGACTTGTCACTGCTGCCCATCTAGGTCGTCAGGGGTCCTTGCCTCCTGGCCAGCCAGAGGATGAGGAGGAGCAGGGGGCGGGCAGGCTGCTATCCCACCTGGGGTCTGGACTCGGTATTCCCCTGCCTCCCAGGTGTGTGCAGACAGGCTGCCGTGGCCATAGCTTCCCTTTTCCAGGTGAACCTCTCCAGCTCCTCTTCCTGCCACAACCCACCCTTCTACCTGCTCTCCCTTCTAGACACAGTCCTCCCTCTGCTGCTAATGGACCTATTGGTCAGCACAACCCCAAAGACAAGAACACTGTCAATCTTGTGAGCCGAACTTTTGATTCAGAGTCCTGTAGGATCTCTGAGAGCCAGACCCAGAGCAGAGCCTGTTTGCCAGCTGTTCAGGGATGGAGTGCAGGGTGAAGCCCCGAGTGGCGGAGGCCACATGGGAAGGCAGGACCCACTGCCCCGTGCCCCGCACTCTGGCTGTCCAGACCAACACGCTCCTCTCCCCACACTCACCTGAGCTCTTTGGGGCCGCAACAAACTCAGAAGAGCTCTTGGCAGCCTCATCCCAACCCAGAGCACTGCTGAGCACAGCCCAGCCACAGACCTCTCCTGGGCTGAGGAAGCCAGCCTCATGGACCTTGCCCACATCCATCCACTCTCTGTCATGGAAATGCCTCCACAGGCCCAGGTGACACCCCCCCCACCCCACATCTAGGGATGATACTATGCTACTAGGTAATTTCCTTCTGCTTATCTGCATTTTAAAGTCTTTATGCAATGAATCTGCCTTGTTCTGAAGAAAAAAGCAAAAAGCATGGGCTATTTTAATAATAAAAGATTAGAAGGGCATCAATATCAGACCTGAGAACTTCCTGCTCAGAGCCCTCCCCCTTCTCATTCCTGACCTCTCACTCTACCTGGCCGTGGACAGGGGAACCAGGATCCCCAATCCCATCTGGACCCATCCTTCCTGGGATTTCTGGAGAGCCAGGCTCCCTGCCCCAGGCCCCCAGCAATCACTGTAACCCCATCGGCTATGCTCCCTCTAGGTTTGTCAAGCCAATCTTCCAACTCCACACCCTCCTGAGCCAAAGCCCCACAGGAATCTCTGGTTACGTGGCAGGTGGCCTCCTTTTAAGGACACTTTTCCAAAGCCCATTCCAGGCTCTTGGCCCTCCTGCTGCGGAGTGAATGCAGCCAGATGTTTCTCCAGGGACCCTCCCCAATAGAGGCTGGAGCGGCACCAACTTCTGTGCCCAGCTGGCCCATACTGAACCTTCTGGAACATGCTCTTCCCTCCTCACTGCAGCTGCTCCTTCTGAGCAGAAACCCCAATATGTGCTGCGCACTGACAACCTGTCCCAGCAAAACAAAACTTTGCACCTTGTGTTCAAATTCAATGTGTGCTGCCACGGACAGTGAAACAGACAGGCCCTGAGCACGGCTCCAGACGCACCACTCGGCCGTTTCTGCCCAGACTTCCGGCCTCATCTCATACATCAGTGAACTAGGAGGCTGTCAGTCCTGAAACACCCTACAGGGCTGAACTCCACTTCGCTGGCCTCAACTCTGTCACGCTACTCATTTCTGCAGAAGCAGACCAGTCTCCATGAGGTCACAAGAGACTGGGCCTGTAGAAGGCCGGGCCTGGGTCACCCAAGAACTGACAGCATTTCCAGGCCGGAGAACCAAGCCCAAAGCTTTCCTGCCTCTGCCTCACACACAGGCTCAGCTCAACAGAACTGCACCCCTGGGCCGCAGGGTGAGTTGGGCTCTACAGCAAAAGCAGAAATATTTCGCTTCCTCAAACTAGGGCCAAGCACGGAGCCGCCACAACACATAAGAACTTGTGATACCTCAACTGGCTTGAGGCCTGACCAGGAAGATCTGATGACCCCATAGCCAGCAGGGATCATGTGCCTCACTTCCTGCCACATGGCTGCACATCCCAAACCCTGGCTCGTCTACAAACCTGGAGGCTGGGCCAGGCTGAAGGGCCAGGCCACCCTCAAGCCCCAGGGCCTGGCTGTGTGTGGAACGGTCTCTGTATCACCCCAGCAGGCCCCCAGCCATGCCCTCGCTTTACCACTGCACTGACATGAGCTCTGTGGCCTACACCACAGGGCAGGGGTGAAACGGAACAGATCAAGAGCAGCCAGTACTTGGTAGGCGTGGAGGGCCTGGAGGCTGGGTTGGGCAGGGCTGTGAAGGGCGCTGGAGACACTGAGTCGGTAGTGCAGAACCTCCAGCTGAGACAACAAAACAGAAGCCAGAGAAGGCGGAGGAAGGGGAGGAAGGGGAGGGGAGAGAGGGGAAAAGAAAAAAGTGAGAGCCCAGAGGTAAGAGAAAAAACAAAAACAAAAAACAAAAACAAAAGCATGTCAGTGACAATCCTAATAACCACAGCCCAGCAACCTCAGGCCAGTGAGACCACCCTCATAGCAACCCAGACCACGCCCTCCTAGCAGCACCCGCCAGGCAGGGGATGGACAGACCCTTCAGACCACCGGGAGGCCCCTCCATGCCACTGGGCCTGAAAGCCTCTCCAGCTCCCCGAGGTCGGCCTGACTCACTTTCCCTCCTGAGGCCCCGCTCTGCCCTGACCCTGATGGCACTGCACACGCACACCATAGCCCACTAGGAGCCCAGGTGCCAACAACCAAGGCCCTGAAGGCCAGAGCCTCCGGAGAGAAACTTTTTAGGATCCAATTCTAGATGGAGGCCTCTCTGCCAAGAAAACAAAGCTATGTAATTGCCTGGACTTCCCTGGGTTGTCCTGAGGAAAAACTGACCAGCACAATTCCTATGTGTCTAAGATCCAATCAGTGTTCTGTCCTGATGGGGGCTGGTTCCTAAAGGCAGCACACAGTGTGCACAGCTCAGCCCACCAGGCCCCACCAAACGCCCTCCACACTCAACATTCCGGAAATGGTTAAAGGAGACACAAGCACTCCTTGGATCTAATTCTGGGAAGACCAGCCTCTCTCTACCTCACCGGGACCCCAACCCTCCAGATACACAGAGCCTTTCATTAGTCCCAGTGGCAAGAATCTGGCCATGGTCACACACTCCCTGAGCCTGGGATGCTGGAGATGACAGCTGAGCTCCCATGCTGCCTGGTCCCACCCCAGGACCTTCCACCCTCCCTCCCTGCAGCACCAAGGCCCGCAAAAGCAGCCCTCCGTCAGCCAAGCACAGCCAAGAGCCAGTCCAGGCACACATTCCGCCCTGCGAGAGCCATGCCTTGGGCTGAGCAGCATGCTGCACACAGGAGAGGTCAGAACGAGTGTGCCAGACTTCAAGGAGACAGGCACAGCCAGAGACACGCGGAGCAGGGGTGAGAAGGAGCACAGCAAGAAGGTGTTGGCCATTCACAGCCTTCCTCCAGGCCAGACCTTGGGCTCAGCTGCAGCCCTCAGGAGGAATCAGGGCATACAGTTTTCCTGTTGGGTCCCTGTCCTGGCCGGTGGGGACATAGGGCAGCCTCATACCAGCCTGCAGGGCTGTGGCCATCCTTACTGCCCTTCCAGAAGCCCCACTCCGCAAGCTGGGTGGAGTGGAGGCCAGGCCTCCAGGGAGCGAGCATGCACTCTGCACCCAGCCCAGCCCAGCTCAGCCACGGACACACGGGGGATTTCCAGGAGCTACACTCCCTGCCTCCCTGAAACCAAAACTCACAAGGGTTTCCGTGTGGTGCAGTGCATGCAGCATGGGCCTGGATAAACGCTAAGGGGCCCCAGATGAAGCAGACCTCCACAGCTGTCTTTCCCGGCTTCCTACACACCCAGTTGTTTCAGGTTTTGCTTTTCTGCCTCAATAGGAGGGAAAGGGCCGAACCTCTCTGATGCCTGGTGAGAACAACAACCCCCCCCATCCCCGCCGAGACATCCTGAGCAGCTCTCACACACCCTGTGGTCTGACCAAGAGAAGGAAGCAAATGTGGGGAGAAGGGGAAGGCCCTCCTGCTCTGGCAAGGACAGGCACTGCCCCTTCCCCTTCCCCATGTGGACTCAGACTAGAAAGGCCTTTCTGCCTCGCCATCTGCTGAAAATGAAAGCGGCATGCTTCCACTGGCTCGGAAGACAGAACAAGCAGACAAGGAAGGCAGTGCAGCGAGGCGGCCTCTGCCTCTGCAAGACCAAGCCACGTGCACAGGGGCTGAGCGAGCCTCCCAGGACCCCTGACCACCGTGCACCAGCCAGGAACATGCAGAGTCAGCTCTGGAAGATGGAAGAGCAGTGCAAGGGCTTTGTGACCTGAGAGGCCCAGGATGGAGTCCCCTGTTCTCCTCCTCCTCCTCCTCCTATGTGACACCAAGGAAGCAGATTTGGGGACTTTAAAAGAGCAGCGGTGGGAGGGCTGCACCCCAACCCTCCACTGGGCAGAGCACTGGGACCACAGAACTGGTTGCTGAGACTCTGCAGCAGGAGCAGAACCCCCACTTCTCCCCAGAATCACAGAGCAGAAGTTACAGACAGCCATTTTCCATTTTTATAAAAACCATAGATCCTTCATTCCCAAGGAAGCTTATGAGAATTTTGTCTGGCAGTGACAGAAGCAACCTGGTACAAAGAAGCCAGGCACTGCAGTCTCATGGAGTAGAAGCCTAAGTGCCCATCTTACTAACTGAACAGAACTGTTCTACCCTGACAAGTCCAGTGGGCTATGGGCCCTGGGGACAGCGCCCCCAGAGGGTGCCAGGGTCTCGGCCACCTCCGCAGCTTTACACACAAGTAGCCCGGTGAGAGAAGGGGGAGAGGTGAGGAGGAGGAGGAAACAGGCCAGGCCACATGCAGGAGGGTGTCAGACTCCACCCACCACAAAGCCTGCTGATGTGCAGAAGGTGGAGACCCAGGGTGGCTGGGGTCTGTCGGGCACCCCCTCAGCAGGAAAGCAGGAGGCGCTGTGATGACAGATGTGACAGACCAGACACAGCTCCCAGAAGCATCAGCGGCTCCCCTGCCCGCAGAGCATGAGCACCACCACCTCATCTGTTCCTGCTGCCACAAGGGGCTCTGGAAGTAGCTCAGGAGGACCCCAGACAAGAGGCCTCCAGCCCTCAGGGTGCAAGCCCACCATCCAGCCCTTGAAAACTGACATCAAGGATAGAAAGTAGCAGGCTGACCAGGCACACCAGGACAAGAGCAGGGGATGGATAGGAACTATGGCAACATACCTTGGCATGAGGGGACTGCATTTTTTGGTACATCTCCAAGGAATAATGATGAAGCCACATTTCAACAAAAACCTGCAAAGGAGTATTAGCTGGTTAAATGAATTAGCAACAGTGTGAAGAATATTCAATGGAGGAAAGGACAGTGTTTTCAACAAATGCTGCTGGGAAACAGGATATCCACATGCAAATGAATGAAGTTGGACCCTTACTTAACACCATAAACAAAAAATAACTCAAAATGGATCAAAGACCTAAATGTAAGAGCTAAAATGATAAAATTCTTAGAAGAAAGCACAGGGAGAAACCTTCATGATATGGAATTTGGCAATGATTTCTTAGACATGACTTCAAAAGCACAGGCAACAAAGGAAAAATAGACAAACTGGATTTCATGAAAATGAAAAACTTTTGTGTGTCAAAGATATTACAGACAGTCCAGCCAATGTTGCTCAGTGGTTGAGGGTCGACCTATGAACCAGAAGGTTATGGTTCGATTCTTGGTCAGGGCACATGCTTGGGTTGCGGGCTCAATCCCAGTGGAGGGCATGCAGAAGGCAGCTGATCAATGATTCTCTCTGATCACTGATGTTTCTATCTCTCTTTCCCTTTCTCTTCCTCTCTGAAGTCAATAAAAATATATTTTAAAAAGTAATCAATAAATAAAAGATATCATAGACAGAATAAAAAAGCAACTCAAAGAATGGAGGAAAATATTTGCAATTCATGTATCTGTTAAAGGATTAACACCTAAAATATACAGAGAATGCCTAAGACTCAACAACATAAAAACAAACAGCACAATTAAAAAATGGGCAAAAGACTTAAATAAACATTTCTCCAAAGATAGACAAATATCCAATAGGACATGAAAAGATGTTCAATACCACTAATCATTAGAGCAACAAATCAAAATCACAATGAGATACCACCTCATATCCATAGGATGTGTATCATAAAAAGAACAGAAAATAATGAGTGTTGGAGAGGATGTGAAATAACTGGAGCCTCTGTGCACTGCTGGTGGGAATGCAAAACGGTGCAGCCACTGTGGAAAACAGTATGGCTGTTTTTTAAAAAAATTTAACAATTACTAGATAGCCCAGCAATTCCACTTCTGGGTATATATTCAAATGAATTGAAAGCAGGGTCTAGGAGAGCTATTTGCACATCCATGTTCATAGCAGCATTATTCATAATAGTCAATAGGTGGAAGTAAATCAAGTGTCCATTGACAGATGAATGGATAAACAAAATGTGATTATTTACATACAATGGGATATTACTAAATATCCTAAAAAAGGGAGGAAATTCTAACACATGCTATAACATGGATGAACTTTGAAGGTTCACTATACTAAGTGAAGTCAGCCAGTCATAAAATAAAATCATGATTCCACTTATATAGGCACCTAGAGTAGGTCAAATTCATAGAAATAGAGTAGCATGGTGGTTGCCAGGGGCTGGGGGAGAAGAAGAATGAGGAATTATTGATTAGTGGGCACAGAGCTTCAGTTTTTCAAGATAAAAAAGTCTTGAGATCAATTATAACAATGTAAGTATACTTTAAAGTGGTTAAAATAGTAAACTTTATATTATGTGTATTTTAACATAATTCAAAAAAATAAAAATTAAAACAACCCTCCCGTTCTGTCCTATAAGCCCATGCCTTGGTCACCTGCCCTCCTCATGGCTGGCAGAACCCAGAGCCCACTTAGCTGGGCGCCAACTGAAGCACTGGGCCCCTCAGTGAACAGGGAAGATGATTCCAGATGCCCCACCTCCCAGTGCTGCTGACAATAACATGGAAGCCTCTAAAAACACAGCAACCCCCACGCCGAGAGTTATGTACCAGGTGGGAGGGACAGAACCCCATCTTATCCACTCCAGGTTGCCAATAAGCAATGTTGTGGTTGCCATCTCAGCCCCAGAATCCTGTGTCAGAACCAGCCTAACCGCACTCTCCAAGGTGAGACAGCAAGGCCCGGAAGGTGGCCAGCGCTGTGCTGCGGGAGTGAGCCAGACCAAGCCTGGGGGACAGGCTGACATGGGGCACTGCCACCTCCCCTGTGGGTCCCTAGTACAGAAGGGCCAGGGGCTGCCTGCTGACCAAGGTGAAGGCTTCAAAGGCCCTCTCTATTAAGCATCATAAAAATGTAGCCGGTGCAGGATTTAATGTCCACATGACAGTGATCACAGGAACCTTCCCAACCACATGGGAGCGCGTCAGAAAGGTGGGGTGGTGAGAACATTTACTCAGATTTATTGCAAACTACAAGACTGGGCAGTGATTACATCACCATGAGAAAAACAAAACCAAACCCTGCACAGGAAATCCTGGGATGAAAAACACTGGCAATGAGATACAGGTTAGACAGGTGGGTCAATTTCTTCCCGCCTATTTTTCTAAATGTCACAGAAGGGAAATACTGACAATTTAGAAGCACCATCCAGCTCAGGGGCAGTCCTTAGACCTCTGGCCCATGGGGTGGAAAGTGGTGAGCAGTTTATTTTGAAATGGAAGCAGAGCGGAGCTGCCTCAGTTCTCACCTGGAGTAGAGTTTCTGACCTCCAGATCTCATGGGAGGCAGGGTCTGCGTTCACAGATGTCTGATGAGAGATATGTCGCTTCAGAAGACTGGTGTGGTGGAGGCCATAGGAAGCAAAAGGCATGGCTGGAGTCCTGAGGAAGACAGAGAAACAGGCCTTCATTAGGGGCTCCCGATGGCATAACCAGGGGCAACTTGGACATCAAAATCAACGACCACAATAACAATTACAATCTGTTGAATCATACAGTGACTCCCCAGCCCATGTGGATTTATACAAACAAATGGGAAGAGAATGTTCCCTAGTAAACAAAGAAGTGATGACATTTAAATATTCATCACTTGGCACCATTCCATTAATAACTGATTTGGCCAAGGAGCACCAAGGGATGCTAACATTAAGTGATAAGTGTACAGTTTCAGAATATCTTCCCATTAAATTCCTCTTGCTAATTATTATTGGCACAAAGTACTTATTTAACTTTACAGCAGGAAAACATGGCCAACCCCCCCCTTAGCCCAGTGATCAAGGTAATGTCACCTATAATGGGGCACATAGACACCATGAGTCACCGCCGCAGAGCTCCTATCAAACAATGTCCAACCTGGGCCCGATCATAAGAAAATACCCGAGAACCCATGTCAAGGGCATTCTGCATGCACCTAGACTGCATGCTACAATGGTGTCAAGGTCAGGAAAGATTGAGATCCAGTTGCAGACTGAAGGGGACTATAGAGACAACTGTAGGTAGTAAGTGACCCTGAGCTGAATCCTAGCCAGGTAACTGCCATTGATGGGATAGCTGGTGAAGCCCCAGTGGGGCCTGAGGATTAGACAGTGGCCTTGTAGCAATCCCTGCTCCCCGACTTGGAGAGAAGTGCTGTGGTTATGAAGGAGTGTGCACTCACTATTAGGAGATGCACTGAAATATTAAGAGATAATGGGCATATCTATAACTTACGTAAAGGACCCAGAAAAAACATACAGATAGAGGATAAAAACAATTTAGAAATCTGGCTGAAGGGTCTATAGTAGCTCTTTATGTTATGCATAGCAACTTTTTTGTAAGTCTTAAATATGCAAAAAAAGCAGACAAAATCAGGCCCAGAAAACCACGTGGCAGCTGCAGTCTGCCTGCGAGAAGGCGTGATTCTGGCCCACCCCCAAGCCCCCCTCTCCTCTTTCAATCCCCTTCCCTTGGGGGCATCTGTCCGTATTTGTGAGCTTGGGGTATGGCATGTGCCAGATGTGGGGTGGGCTAGCATGTGCAGGAAAGCCTGCCTGCAGCCTCCCAGGGAAGGAGTTGGGCCAGTGAGGTGGAGGAGGGTCCGAGGAGCACGGGCAGTGGCTGTCAGGGCAGGAGGATCTCCTGGGGAGAGCCAGCTAAAAGGCCCCGTTCACCTCCAGGCTGCACAGTAACGGCCTGCTCACTGACATAAAAGGCTCTCCATCCCAGGAACTCTGGCTCGGGCCAAGACCTGGTTCTCGAGTCACACAGATTCCTACTACTTCATGGATCACATAACAACGTTTTGGTCAACAACACTGCTGCTTCAGCAGCACATACACTAAAATTGGGGCCATACAGAGAACATTAGCACCTCAGCGTAGGGAATGGATGTTGCATGAAGGGAGGGATGCTATGGGCAGAACACAGCCCGTTTTCACAGCAGGGCCATGCAGCCACAGGGCCTGACCACTTCAGGGATGGTCACTGAAAACCAAAACAGACATCCTCCTTACCCCTGCACTCTAGTCTGTGCTATGGCAGCTGGGGTAGGGGCATCTCAGGCATAAGAAAAACTGGGGAGCCCTGGACAGAGTGGGCACCATTGTTGCATGAGCAGTGCTCACTGACCAGGCTACTCCTTTGTAGAATAGCTAGTGGCAGGCACGGGATACCTCAGGTACTGGCCAAAGGCCAGGGTAGCTGTAGAGCCTTACCTGGGAGCTGGTGAGGGGCTGGGCCCCCCGGGACTGGAGGAGAGTGGGGGGAGCACGCTGCCTTCTGTGGGCAGGAACCACGATAGGTACCTGTCCACCAGGATGAAATAGGCACAGTCTGAAGTACGAACATGGAGGGCCCCGGGGAGCGGCTAAAAAAACAAAACTCGAGTTAGTGGGTGGCGCTGGCTGCTGACCCCAGCAATCACAGGAAAGCCTTGGGATGTGGCTGCTTCCCTGAGGCCAGCCCAGGCGCACTGAGGGTGGTGCCAGGAGAAAAGCCCCCATCACAGGCAGCCTGACTAACCCTCAGTCCTACCCGCCTGTGACCCCTCCACTCTGCCCCACTGTCTGGTAAGCACCTCCTATGGGAAGCCCCCTGACTGCCACTTAGGGTGCCTGTCACCCGACATCACCTGTCAAGTCTGCCCACCAGTCTATTGCCCTAAGTGAGAATGGCCTGAAGGACAAAGACTGGAGGAGAGAGGAAAGGAAGACCCAGAGAAATGAGGCAGGAAGGGAAAAGGAGAAATGGAAGACAAAGCAAGGCTGGCAGCTGGCTCCCAGGCAAATCCCAAGCTCCCCTTGCTGGGTGAAAACAAGAGCCCAGGGCCACGCCCCCCACCCTCCCAGGGGTTTCTAGTAAAGCAAACTCTGTTCAGAGGAATCCCTTCTGTACCTTTTGCGTGATGAGGCTCAAAGCGAACTCGAACGGATCTGAAGGCAGGATCAGGGGACAAACGGCAGGGCAGTTGGGCCACCGCACCCCCACCGACCCCACACTGTGCTGGCCACCCCAGCCTCCCTACCCATGGGGTCAGCAAAGGATACTGAGGGCCAGGTTCAGGCCGAGGCCCCCGGTGGGAGGGAACTGGACCTTATTGTGGTACAGAGGGCTATCAGGGACCACGTGCTCCTGGATGGATGCCTTCACGGGGCCCTGCAGAGAGAGGGAGGCAGGCTCGCAGGCAGGCTCTGGCTCAGTGCCCCACGTGTGCAGCCCTTTGGGAAGGCTGCTGAGGAGGCGGCCAGCACATGGACCCTGTTCATGGGTACAGCACTACCCTCTGCATAGCACTTGAGCAAGCTTTCACTTAGAATCTCTCATTTATATATATAAAATCCTAAGCGACAGGCTGATCGGCTGGTAACTATGACAAGCACTGACCACTAGGGGGCAGACGCTCAACGCAGGAGCTGCTGAGTGACAGCAGCTTTGAAGAGTGCCCTCTCACACTTTGGGATCCCTCGGGGGGTGTTGGACTGCCGGTTTCAGCCCCATCCCTACAGGCCAGGCCGAGGGACCCCACCAGTGCACGAATCCGTGCACTGGGCCTCTAGTATCATCAGAAAGACCCACCAACAGCAAAGGCAGCAGCTGTGCACATTTATGAGCTTAATGAATCCCATCTCCTCTGCTTTTCATACCCACCGAGCAAGTCACCCGTTGTAATCAGTCACATGGCCCTGCCTATCATCTAGCCTGTAGCAAACCGGGCAGCATGGTGCCTTCCCCATTGGCAGAATTTGTGATGATCTTAAAAATTCCAATTTGTGATGCCTCCTTGACCCTGAACAGATACCATGGCATTCTCCTGCCCACTGTGACAGCCCCTCTGAGCCCCGGCCCACCACTGTAGCCACTGTCTGGGGTCTCTGCCCAAGCACAGCTTTCACCCCAGGGCTTACTTACAGGCAGGTAGGAGACAGGAAAGTCAAACTTATAGTCTTCAGCTTGAAGTTTATAAACCAACTTCATCATTGGGCCACTGAACATGAAATTAAGACAAGAAAAGCAGGAAAATGAACTGCAAACCATCTTGCTTTGATTTGTTTCTTAACTTTGAAAAATACAATGATTTAAAAGTGGGATCACCAGAGGAAACATCCGGCTCCTCAGGTGACAAACCTACCTACCCAGGGTCTAGAAATTCCATCGCAATGCTGTATTCGACAGGGCTCACACGTCCCTGTAAGGAGCGGAGGTTCCAGCCGATGAGAACACCGTCCAAGCTGCCGAAAATGCTCTCTACCAGCCATGGGAAGATGGCATGCAGCTCCTGAAACAGTGTGCGGGTGAGGCCTTGGGCAGGCTTGCTGAGGACCAGAGCTCACTGCTGGGCTGTGTGCCAGCTCCAGTCCTGCATCTCATGCTGCCCACTTCCCTAGCTGGACCTGAGCTCTGAGCATGTCACTCCCTGGTTCAAAAGCCCACAGGACCAGCCCAGCACCCACAGGAACCCTGGCACAACAGTGCCAACAGGAAAGCAGCAGCCTTGGACCCTTTCATCGTGGTTATGGGGCAAATCAAGCAGTATTGTTTTACATGTGGGCCAGTTAAATTAGTCACCATATTTAAAAAGAGAGCTTTACTAAGGGTGGCAATGTTCTTCTCAAAGTGAGCCCTTGAAACTGAGACTTGCTGTCATTTGGTAACTCCTTGTCCAGGCCGGCTTCTTGAACTTACCTCACTTACTACTAATTGACAATTCTGGGTGTGATGGGAGCACACATTTTCAGTATTTACACCAGAGTTTCTCCACTTTGGTACTGTTGACATTTTAGGCTGAACACTTCTTTGTTGTGGGGGTTGCCCTGTGCATTATGAGATGTTTTACCAGAATGGCTGGTCTCTACCACTTGATACCAGTAGCACCACTCCTCTGTGATAATTAAAAATGTCCCTGGACATTGCCAAGCATCCCGTGTGGGACAAAAGTATCCATGGTAGAAAACCCTGGCTTACATGTTCACATGTTTAAATGTGTCCACATATGCGACAGTCACAATGCCGGTCAGGCCTCTGTGTAGGGCAGGGCTCAGAGGTGGAAACCAGGGACTGTAAGAACATTTTTCAAGGATAGCATGAGACATGCCCCAAAGAGATGCTAGCAGAGCTGTACCTTTGCTGGAAAATCCTCTATGACTTTAACCAAGTCTTGGCACCGCTGTGCAAAGGGCTTATTTATTGCGTCAGCTTTCAGGCTAGCCTATAAGAAACCGAAAAAATATCATGAACATATTCATTTTGCAGCTTTTGATGATATTCTGGCTCGAGTCAAAACAGAAACCCAAGTGATAGGCAGGAGTGAGACACACACCACCGACCTGATTCCCCAGCACCTCATACATAGGTCAGGCATATGTCAGTGACCTAAAGGATGCAACTGGAAGAGAGGCTGAGGTACCATGCCTTCTAGACAAGTAACTATCAGGCTTGCTTCCCAGCAGCCTCTGTTAGGCATCCCCAGTTACCTCAAAGAACTGCATATTACCAAAATAAAACTGACTTCTGCCTGACCCACAAGCAGGGGGTCAGCCCCACATCCAGGAGAGGCCCCTATGGAACAGGGCTCCCCTCATAGACCACAGAGTGTTCACCAAGTGTGTATGCAATGAATGGTAAATTCCCTAGAGGACTGCCCACCCTGATTTACACCACTGTGACCATCAGTAAGAATGCCCAATAAAATGAGGGTATTTGTTGCTATTTAAGCCCTTAACTAAAACGTCTTTTATTTAGTGATAATGAACCTACTGAACCTTCATAACCTTAAGAAACAGGCAGGGATCCCAAGAAATCAGAAAAACACCAATCAGAAATAATAAATGCACCCTTATGTTCATAGCAGCCCAATTTATAACAGGTGAGATTTGAAAACAGCCTAAGTGCCCATCAGCAGATGAGTGGATTAAAAAACTGGTACAACTACACAATGGAATATTATGCTGCTGTTAAAAAAAAAAAAGAACTCTTACCATTTGCAATAGCATGGATGGACCTGGAGAGCATTATGCTAAGCGAAATAAGCCAGTTAGAGAAAGATAAATATCACATGATCTCACTAATTTGTGGAATATAATGAACAACATAAACTGATGAACAAAAATAGATCCAGAGACACAGAAGGATCAAACAGACCGTGGAACCTCGGAGGGAAGGCAGGCGAGAGTAGAGGATGGGGGTGGGTAAGAGATCAACCAAAGGACTTGTATGCATGCATATAAGCATAACCAAAGGACACAGACAGTAGGGGGGAGGGGAATTGTGCTGGGGGGTGGGGGGAGGGAGAGTGGAGAGCAGCCAGGAAAAGGTCAATGGGGGGGGGGGGAGGAGATATATATGTAATACTTTAAACAATAAAGAATTTAAATTTTTTAAAAAAAAGAAGTAATAAAGACAAACAGAAAAGATAAAAAAAAGAAAGAAATAGGCAGGGACCTTGCAAGATGGCAACATAGGTAAATGCCTATACTCGCTGCCTCCCCCAACCACATCGAAATTACAACTTAAATACAGAACCACTATCATTCAGAACCGCCTGAAAGCTGGTTGACTGGAAGTCCTACAACTAGAGAAGTAAAGAAGAAAGCACACTGAGACTGGTAGGAGGGGCAGAGGCGCGGACCAGGATGGTCTGACACCCACCTGTGTCGCTTTTTTAATTGGGAGGGAGATCGTCTTTTCGGAAGCTGCCCAAGAGGTGCAAGGGGTCCCAGCCCCACACCAGCCCTCCAGCCCATGGTTCCAGAACTAGGAAGAGAAGTCCCTGTAACTATGGGCTGTAAAAACCAGTGGGGATTGTGGCTAAGAGACACAGAGGCTGCTGTAGACCCAGCTGTTCCTTTTAAAGGGCTGGCGCACAAACACACTTAGATTCAATACCTCTGAGCTTCAGCACCGGGCGGCTCTGGAGGACTCAGACACATATGAGGAGGAACTGGACTGTCTGGCATCGGGACAGGAACCCAAGGGCGGCTTTCTCCGAGACAAGGGTGTTTTCAAGGGTCATTGTTCTTGTGCTGGGACCTCCCCTATTACAGGGCTGACTGGCAGCCATATCTGGCAGCCCACACTGTTTGCTCCACCCTAGGGATTCCCTAACCACGCCCCATCCAATTTGCAGCCCCACCCAAGCTGTTTGCAGCAGCTTTTCCATATGAATATCCTGTCCTGGCTCAGGTTTCAGACTTTGCTAAAATCTCTCAAACAAGCTGCAGCTGGTGACAGCATGCCCCAAAACTACCAATAAAAGGCCCACAACCAGCATTAGCATGAGCCAAGCCTGCCTTGCTTCACAGCTGGGCCTCGCCTCCTGCACAGCAGCTCTCCCACTGTCTTTGCAGCTGGTCCTCACAGCCAATTGGCCTGGAGGTCAACTCCTCCCAGAGACACCAACAGCAATCAAGGCTCAACTACAAGACTGTGCATACAGCCCACACACTTAGAGTGTCCAGCTCAGGTGACTAGGGAGGTTGAGCCACTGGGCCCTACAGGACACCTACTACACAAGGCCACTCTACCAATTCCAGGAGACATAGTAGCTCTACCTAATACATACCACAGTTATGAGGTTACTCAAGGATCTTCATGAGAGCTTCAAGGGACTAGTGAGACTTTCAAGGATTTTAGTGAGAATTTCAATGTCATGAAATTGGACCAGTCAGAAATTAAGCATACACTAACTGAAGTAAAGAACATTTACAGGGATTCAACTAGAGGATTCCGAGATTCAAGTCAATGATTTGGAATATGAGGAAGCAAAAAACACCCAATCAGAAGAGTAAAAAGAAAAAAGAATAAAAAAATATGAAGAAAGTGTAGAGTATTCGCCTCCAAGTCGCCGAAGAGTGAACACCCCAAACAATCCTGAAGCGCCACCAAAAAAAAAAAAAGAGAGAGAAAGAAGAAAGTGTAAAGAGTCTCTGGGACAACTTCAAGCATACCAACATTAACATTACAGGGGTGCCAAAAGATGAGAGAGAGCAAGAAATTGAAAACCTATTTGAAGAAATAATGACAGAAAACTTCCCCCACTTGGTGAAAGAAATAGACTTACAAGTCCAGGAAGCGCAGATAGTCCTAAACAAGGGGAACTCAAAGAGGCCCACACCAAGACACATCATAATTAAAATGCCAAGGGTTAAAGACAAAGAGAATATCTTAAAAGCAGCAAGAGCAAGAGAAAAGCAGTTACTTACTTATGAAGAAGAAGGAGGAGGAAGGAAGGAAGGAAGGAAGGAAGGAAGGAAGGAAGGAAGGAGAAGAGGAAGAAGAGAAGGAGGAGAAGGAGGAGGTGGAAGAGGTAAAATATATGAACAATAAAATGGCAACAAATACATATCAACAATTGAATCTAAAAATCAAAATAAATGAACAGAAACCTAATGAACAAAATAAACTGGTGAATAAAACAGAATCAGAGGCATGGGAGCACGGAACAGACAAATCTCAGAGGGAACGGGGGAGGAGGGAGCAGGAAGAGATTAACCAAAGATCTTACCTATGGACACAGACGGTAAGGTGGTGAAGGCATGGGGTGGGGTGAGAACTGGGTGGAGGGAGGCAATGAGGGGAAAAAGGGGGAACATCTGTAACACTCTCAACAATAAAGATTAAAAAAAAAAAAGGAAAAATATAGAAAAGAAACAGGCAGGTTAAAATCCACATATGGCTTCAGCCAAGTGCTGACACTAATCATGAAGACCATGGAAAGGCCAGAAAGCATTCAGGACAAGAACTAAGGAAATCTACCTGAGTTCATGGGGTGTGTACCTTGACTACACAAAGAAAAAGAAGCCTCCGCACACATGGATGGAGATCAAGAGGAAATGTCAGAGTTTCAATGAAGAGGGCTTTGCCCAAGGATATCTAAGGCCTTGTCCACCTTCAAACAAGGGTGGAGTCTATGGGGCCTCAGTCAGAGGTGAAGACTTGGGCTGTGTAGGCCACAGGTTGGATCTGTTGGCTCTAGAGCAGTGATGGCGAACCTTTTGAGCTCAGCTTGTCAGCATTTTGAAAAACCCTAACTTAACTCTGGTGCCGTGTCACATATAGAAATTTTTTGATATTTGCAACCATAGTAAAACAAAGACTTATATTTTTGATATTTATTTTATATATTTAAATGCCATTTAACAAAGAAAAATCAACCAAAAAAATGAGTTTGCGTGTCACCTCTGACACGTGTGTCATAGTTTCGCCATCACTGCTCTAGAGCAGTGGTTCTCAACCTTGGCTGCACATTATAATCACCTGGGAATCTTTTTAAAATCCTGATTTCTGGGCCTCATCCTCCGGAAATTGTTTCTTTGTTACTAATGTTGTGGCCCCACCCCATAACAAAGAAACAGAATTTCAGGAGGATGAGGCCCAGAAATCAGGATTTTAAAAAGATTCCCAAGTGATTCTAATGTGCAGCCAAGGTTGAGAACCGCTACTCTAGAGGGTGCACCAAGGAAGAATGTCCTTCCAAATAAATGTTTATCTCAAGTATCTTCTGGGAACTGAAATTTGAACCTTTCACCACTGGTATCTGTCTTATGCTTAACTTCTCAGCATCATATTTAATATATATATGACAAGCCTCATGCGAGGATGTTTTTTCCAGTGATTTTTAGAGAGAGTGGAAGGGAGGGATGGATGGGGGGGGGGGGGGGGAGAGAAACATCGATGTGAGAGAGACACATCGATTGGTTGCCTCCTGCACTCACCCTGACCAGGGCCGGGGATTGAACCTGCAACCCAGGTATGCACTCTTGACTGGGAATTGAACCGTAACCGTTTGGTGCGTGGGCCACTGCTTTAACTACTTAGTACCCTGGCCAGGGCTCATGTTTAATATTTAAAGTACAGTCCTGGTTGCCCCCAGCAGAACAGTGTCCCTCCATCTTTCACTAATGACAATTATGATTATTACACATTTGTGTAAGGATTTACAAGACATAACATTTGAAGGTATATCTTTTCAGTTGCTCCTTCCCATACCCTGGGTAGCAGGGAAAATGGCATTTGAATCAACTCGCCCTGTAGATGAGAAAACCAGGGCTCAGTGGTTGAGTGAACCCAAGGTCCTGCAGAGGCAGAGTCAAGCCCAAGGATTTCAACCCTGAGTCCAGTGTTATTTCCATCACACGCACCTTACAACAACCACTGGAGAGTTCAAGTTGGTGGGAGGAACTCCCAGGTCCCTCAGCTTTGTTTTTTGTTTGTTTGTTTGTTTGTTTTTATTTATATTTTTATTGATTTCAGAGAGGCAGGGTGAGGGAGAGATAGAAACATCAATGATGAGAGTGAATCATTGATTGGCTGCCTCCTGCACGCCCCCTACTGGGGATTGAGCCTGCAACCCGGGCATGTGCCCTTGACCGGAATCGAACCCGGGACCCTTCAGTCCGCAGGCTGACGCTCTATCCACAGAGCCAAGCCAGCCAGGGCGGTCCCTCAGCTTTGAACTGACACTCACACGGGCAATTGATATTTACCAGTAGGAAGCTGGGCTGTTGCAGGTGAGGGAATGCCATAGTAGCCTCTGGTGGAGTTGAAAACGGCCGTCTTAGGAAACCACTGTGGAAAAGCAAATAAGAAATCTCAACCTCTGCCAAACAGAATACGGAATCGTTTCACAATGCCCAGGAGGACATCTGTATAACTCATCACACACTGCATTCCATGTCCCATGTGTTATAGAAATGCCATTCTCATGCAGCCCACAGTGGCCAGCTTCAGAGACACGTTTGTATAGCACTTGCTATGTGCCAGGCCTGGTTCTAGGGCAGCGGTTCTCAACCTGTGGGTCGTGACCCTTTGTGGGGGTCGAACGACCCTTTCACAGGGGTCGCGTAAGACCATCGAAAAACACATATATAATTATATATTGCTTTTGTGATTAATCACTATGCTTTAATTATGTTCAAATTGTAATGAAAATACATCCTGCATATCAGATATTTACATTACGATTCATAACAGTAGCAAAATTACAGTTATGAAGTAGCAACGAAAATAATTTTATGGCTGGGGGTTACCACAACATGAGGAACTGTATTAAAGGGTCGCGGCATGAGGAAGGTTGAGAACCACTGTTCTGAGGCTCTGCATATATTTCTCATTTACTTCTCAGTGGCAGTCAGAATTCTAAAGATAGCCCCTCCAAGTGCCGGCCCCTGGTTATCCAATCACAAACCATCTGGATATTGCTGTGAAAGCATTTTGCAGATACAATTTAAAGTGTCAAGTCAGTGGACCATAAAATACAGAGCAGCCTTGGCTGACAGCCAGCGAGGAAACAGGGACCTTAGTTCTACAACTCCCAAGAACTAGATCCTGACAGCAACCTGAGTAAGCTTCGAAGCAGATTCTTCTCCAGAGCATCTAGATAAGAGCAAAGCACCATGATTTCAGCCTTGGACTGAGCAGAGCGGAAGCTTGCCTAGCTCCAATGATGGGTTACTGCTGGCTTTTCCTTGCACAGCTTTGCCTACTGGCCTGAGTAAGGGCACTGAGGTGGCAACTGACAACTTAATGTGGATGGAGAGGTTGGGTGCAAGGAGACGGTGTAGGCAGCTGAGAAGCTGGCAGGCGATGCACATATCTGTCATTTGGCAATATAAACACCTCCACGTTTTTCCCCCCAACTCTTAAACTAGCGATCAGTTTCAGTTTTAAAGAAAACTTAAGACAAAACACCTCAGTCCTGAATCAAGTGGTCAAGAGAACTTCCAAAACTATCAAAGCAGCATAAAACCCTGAGTTGCTTGCAGAGGGCAGAGCTTTAGGACGAGGCAAAAGCACCTCCTTGCTCAGAGGGAGTCTGAGCCAGGCAGGGGCTGAAGGAATGAGGCCAGAGGTGCCAAACGAGGGGTCTTTCCAAGGCAGGCAGTGCCTCTTACACAGGTCTCCGACCCTGCCTTGGTCTGCTCCCCCCTCGCCCCCCATCACCCCTTCTGTGCTGTGCGCCAAGCATCTGCTTCATCCTAACACTTCAGCAACCCCTTTCCTCAGGAGCTGCTTCCGACCTAGTTTTGGGGTTTCCTCTGAGAGCGGCAGCCCTCAGGCATCGCTGATTATGCCAAGCAAATCACGCTCCTGCCAAGGACTCCCTCTCAGTGGCTCTCAACCTTCTGGCCCTTTAAATACAGTTCCTCCTGTTGTGACCCAACCATAAAATTAATTTCGTTGCTACTTTATAACTGTAATGTTGCTACTGTTATGAATCGTCATGTAAATATCTGATATGCAGGATGGTCTTAGGCGACCCCTGTGAAAGGGTCGTTCGACCGCCAAAGGGGTCGCGACCCACAGGTTGAGAACCGCTGCTAGCTGCTCTGAGTGGCCGAGCAGGCTCCCCTTTGTCGCTCACAGCTGCCCTGAGGAGCAGGCACTGGGCAACATGCCCCCTACCACGGATGAGGAGACTGGCTCGCCCAATGGGAGGAAGGCTCGGGCCGGGACCCACACCCGGCTCTTCTTCCTACACGGTTTGTTGAGTCCAAAGCCCAAGTTTCACTCGCAGCTTTCCTTCCTCCAACTCGTTCAATGAACGTTCACCGAGCACCCACCGGGGCTGGATGTGTGAGCCGCGCGGGAAGGCGGCATGAGGGCGGAGCCCAGGCCCCAGGCTCCCCCGCCGGCCCGGCCGGGGCAGAGACGCGGAGGCCCGGCCCGGGCTCGCGGAGGAACGAAGGCAGCTTCAGCGGAAGCTCAGAGAGGCTGCCGGGACCGTCGGGCGCGCGGCTCCCGCTACTCACCTGTGGAGTCTACAGCATTCCTCATCCTCAGGGTCTGGAGCTACCACTCGGCATCCGGCGCCGAGATGTCGTCATCAAACTGCGCGTCGCGCCGCGCCACGCCCCCCTGGCCTGGCGGGAAACGCGCCGCCACCTCCGTTGGCAGCGACTTGGACCTCAAAAGGCGCATGCGCAAAGCGAAGGCTGGCGGGGTTTAGGGGTTTCACGGGTGTGAGCGCGTGCGCAGGGGAAGCCTGAGCTCACGCACTGCAAGCGAGACGAGGAGGGCGCGTGCGCGTAAGGAGAGGCTGTTAAGTAGGGCCCTCGGGGCGCGCCCCCAATGGAGCATAGGGGCCAGGAGCAGTTATACACTGTGCACTGACGGCCCTTCGTCCCGCAGGCATTTATTGAGCGCCCACTGTATGTCAGGCACTGCGCTGGATGTTGCTACTTAAGCGAGAACGACACATGCAACCTAGCAGGGAAGTCCTGATCGCCAAGGAGCGGGTCTCTTTGGCCTGCCACGGTCTCCACCACGCCTAACACGCCGCCCGGCACGTAAATGTGGATCGACTGAAGGAGGGAAGACGGGCTGATGCCTGCCCTCCAGTGTTGGGCTGACCGGAGGCCAGGCGGTGACGCTGCGGGGAGAGGAACAGCCGGCGGGGCCGGTAGAGGGCGCCGTGGGAGCGCCCGGAGTCGCGGGAGCGAGTGGGGCGCGCACCTTCCCGCAGGCCCCGCAGATGGCGACGCCGGGCGCTGGACCCGGGCCCGGGCCGGGGCCATCCCCGGGGCTGGAGGCAGCGCTACAGAAGCTCGTGCTGCGGCGGAAGAAAGTGCTGAGTGCCGAGGAGATGGAGCTGTACGAGCTGGCGCAGGCGGCGGGCGGCGCCATGGATCCCGACGTGTTCAAGTGAGCGGGCGCGGGTGGAGGCTGCGCGCTGGTCCGACCCCCAGACAACCCGGCTCTTAGCCCCCGCCAGGCCACTGATCTGTATATTAGAGCCTCCCGTCCTTGTCTCGACCCTCTGGGGGCCCAGAGTAGAGTCGGGACCTTGACAAAGGTGGCCCTCCTGGACCTAGTGCCAGTCTGGAAGCCATGCCCGCCCCGGTCTCGCCCGAGCAGACGGGCCGGGGGACCAGTAGGGCTCACTGCGCACCGCATCTGTTCTCACCAGGATCCTGGTGGACCTGCTGAAGCTGAACGTCGCGCCCCTCGCAGTCTTCCAGATGCTCAAATCCATGTGTGCCGGGCAGAGGCTGGCGAGCGAGCCCCAGGATCCTGCTGCAGTGTCCCTGCCTACATCGAGCGTGCCTGAGACCCGAGGTCAGCTGGGGTGCTCTCTGCCCCCGTGACCCAGGCGGCGGGGTAGCAGGGGCCAGGAGGTGGGCAGTGCCAGGCACAGCGGGCTACACCCTCAGTGGTCTGGCCTTTCTGTAGGTCTTCTCCCATGGCCCACTGGACCCATCCGAGGGCTCTCCCATTTGGTGCAGTCCCCAGCTTTGGCTTCAGTGCTAGCCGTGAGAGAGCAGGTCTGGATCAGATGGAGGCAGAATGGGTGCCCCAATGTGGCCCAAGCAGGCTAGGCCTCACCTGACCCAGCCTCTTCTCACCTCATACCTCATGCCTCCATACCACAAATACAGGGACAAGACTGCTTTGGTTCCTGTTCTCATGGTGTGTACCCTCTCCAGGGAAGTGCTCGGGGAGTGGGCAAGCAGAGAGGCTTTCCTACAACCCCCTCCCCTGAACCCACCTCACCCAGCTCCAGATCCTGCCCAGGAGTCAGTGTGGCAGTCCTGGCTGCCCTGGGCACTCAGGGTGCAGAGGCTCGAGTGGCAGAGCACTGGGCTCAGGCTTGAGGGGCCTCCTCACGCTCAAGGATTAGGAACAGGTGCTGGTGATGAGAATGTCAAGGCAGAGCTTCCTGTGTCACTTCTGCCCCTGATGACTGCCAGAAACCCTGTCATGCAGCAGAACCTCCTGGGCTGGCTCCTTGGCCAGAACACTCGGGCACTTACAGGCATCCTGAGAAGCAGCTGACACTGGAGTGGAGGGCAGGCTGGCCCCTTTGGGTGGGAGTGCCAGGGCCCCAGGCACTCAGCCCCCTTTCCTGAGAGGCGCTGGGCTTCCTCACTGACCCATGCTCCGTCTGCTCTCTTTGTGTCTCTCTCTGACCTGCAGAGGCCTCCTTTCTCTTTGCCAAGAACTGTAGCCCCCCTGCAAGGGCCTCCTTTTCCTCAGCCCTGCGGCCTGCGGCCTCTCCGGTTCTGCACCACAGCCCAGCTGCCACGCACTCGCCTCTCTCTCCGGGGCCCCCCGGTTCCCTCCGGTTCTCTTGCTGCCTGTTCTCTCCTTTTGCAGGTTGCATTTATTGGTTTATCTCTGGGGGTTGTTGTGCTCTCTTGTTTCCATGGAAACTGCTGTGGCCCAAGAAAGCCAGAACAGCTTCTAGCTGCAAGGGCAGGGTCCTGCTGGCCATCTCTGCCACGCAGCTTAGAGACTGAAGACACAATTTCATGGTTTATTAAGAGACAACCTGCAGTACCCCTAACCCCCCAGAGACTAACTCTGCTGGGTGAGACTTGTGCTCTACAGAGGTGCCCCTGCCCCAGAGGAGAAGAGGCTGAGGGGCAGGGAAGGTGCTACAGAAGACCTAATTCTGCTTGGCCTGGCCTGGGAGGTGCTATGGCGTCTGATCTGGGCTCTAGCATGTTGGGAGACGCTGTGGGGTGGCGGGGCTCATAGGGATACTTGCACGCTGACCAGAATATTGGCATTTGTACCAAAGAAAATGTGGATGACAGTTCTCTTTGTATCTGTTTTTTGTGAGTCCCTGGCCTTGTCGGATTTAAAGGCAGGCTGAGTTGACTCAGCTTCACCCCACAACATGCTCCTGTCTGCTCCTCCTCGGCCCTGGGTAACCTGTTATTATATCTCTGTTGAATCAAATGCACATGAGCACTTGAGTGTGAAGACCAGGGAGGCGAGGCAGAGGAAACCTGAACTGTCCAAGTTCCAGAGGAAGAACCAATGTAACCCTCCCCACCACACCGGGCAGCAAAGACCCCACTCTCTGAGGAAGTACTTTCCAGAAATTCTCTTAAGAAGGGCTGTCGCCGTAGCCGGTTTGGCTCAGTGGATAGAGCGTTGGCCTGTGGACTCAGGGGTCCCAGGTTCGATTCCGGTCAGGGGCATGTACCTTGGTTGCGGGCACATCCCCAGTAGGAGGTGTGCAGGAGGCAGCTGATCAATGTATCTCTCTCATCGATGTTTCTAACTCTCTATCTCTCTCCCTTCCTCTCTGTAAAAAATCAATAAAATATATTTAAAAAAAAAAAAAAAAAAAAAAAAAAGAAGGGCTGTCATAGCCCTGCAGGAATCCTGGGAAGAACTTAGTTGTCAGTCTTGGAGAGCATGGAAAGCGAGTCTGATGTTCTATAGAAGCCAGGATCTGCAGTTTCAAAGGCAGGTGCCTCTAAAAACAGAAATGATTTAACAGGCCCCTAAGAAACTTTGTTACATCTTTTCTCCAACAATTCATAATTTCCCTAAGGCAGGCTATTTGACCCTGAACCCTGAAGGAGAGTAAGGGTCAAGCAGGTGACAGGAATGCTGGTCAAAGCCCACAGGGCAGACCTTGGCTGAAGCTGGCCCAGAAGAGGGACTGAACTGGTGAGTGAGCCTGGTCCACCAGTACATTGTCCCCTGGAGGGTCCTCTTAGTCTTGCGGATGCTGTCAACATTCAGAGCTCAAGGAAGTCAACCATCTTACCTAATAAACAAACATGTAAATTGACTGTACCTTCACTACATTAACCAGCCAATCAGGAGAGTATGTAAATTAACCCAACAAAGATGGCAGTTAATTTGCATACGTAGGCTCCAAGCTGGAGCGAAGCCTGACGGCCCCGGGGCCGGCTCCGGCCAGAGCGAAGGCCTGGGTCCCAGGTGCCAGAGGCAAACCGGTGCCGGCAGCCAAGGGAAGGGAAGGCCTATTGCACGAATCTCTTCATGCAACAGGCCTCTAGTTTAAAATAAAACTCTAGTCCAGGTGTGGTTACAGGTATGCCTGTCGTCTACGCGCACACACACACACACACACACACACACACACGAGAGAGAGAGAGAGAGAGAGAGAGAGAGAGAATAAAGTAAGCAAATTACAAATCAAGGAACAGACCAGTGTCTCTGTCCGAGTGTGACTACCTAGTGGTCAGGGCAAGTCTTGAGCAGTCAAGCCTCTGCAGGACCCAACCTGAGTAAACCTGAGAGCAAGAAGCTTGACCACTGGATGTTTGCAGGATACTGAGGGTGGGAGGAAAACAGGAGAAAGAGCTTCCAAGATCCAAGTTCAAAAGCCTGACTTCATCATCTGTTGATGACGCCTGTGCTTCCAGTGTTGTCTGATGGGCTGAAACATGGATAATCCAGAGAAGAGGAGAGTGCCTTGGGGGGACAATGAGGTAGCAGCTCTACTGATAGTGAGCCCTCCTGTGCTGCTGGCAGTGGTAGCTCACCACAAAAGCTTCCTAGGGCAGGAGTCAAGAAGCTGAGCTTCCCTGCCCCTAAACTGACCATCGACACTCCCACCCCACCCATTCATTCTAGGACACCCTCCAGGGCCTCCTGCACTCCGCCAAGGACTGCTCTTGGATGTGCCATCTGTAGGCAGCCTTTGAGCCTCAGAACCCTGGGCTGAGACAGGGTCCCTGGCTGAAAGTACTGTGCTAGAAACATACTAGATGTAAATGTTGCTCAAGAAACACAGAGATGGCCTTTGCTGGTATGGCTCATGGATAGAGCGTTGGCTTGGCACTAAAGGGTCCCAGGTTCAATTCCGGCCAAGGGCACATGCCCAGGTTGCAGGCTCGGTCCCCAGTAGGGGGTGTGAAGGAGGTAGCCGATCAATGATTCTCTCTGATCATTGATGTTTCTATCTGTCTCTCCCTCTCTCTTCCTCTCTGAAATCAATAAATTAAAAAAATAAACACAGAGATGCACTGTGATTGTGGAGTTTGTCCTGGTTCCTAATGATTGTCTTCTGTGTCTGCTCAGGGAGAAACAAAAGCAGCACTGCTCTTGGTGGAGGCCCCACTCTGGCAGAACGAAGCTGCCGGGAAGGATCCAGCCAGAGGATGCCCCGACAGCCCAGTGCTACCAGGCTGCCCAAGGGGGCAGGGCCTGGGAAGAGCCCCACTCGGAGCAGTACCTGAGCCAAGCAGACCACCTGCTATGGGCCCCACCAGCCTCCTAGCAGAGGTTATGCATGAATTCCCCCAGTTGGTAATAAACCTTTTTTTAAAAATTCATGGTCTATTCAAGATGTTTTCTATCACATTTTCAATATATTAAAGCACAAATATTTAGAATTAGTTCTGTTGCTCATCCTGGTTGTGCTACAGCTGAACTAACCAAGTGACTTAAACTAGTGACTTCACCCTCATGGACCTCATTTCAACATGTTTTGCTTGAGACCATTCTTGGGGTGCTCAGGTGCAACGGGAGCAGGGGTTTAAAGTACGGAGGGGGGAACACTGTCAGGTTACCACAGACAGGACAGGAATGAATATTTAGAGCTTCTAACCTTCTGTGGGTCATGCATGCCATTGAAGAATTCAATAAAACCTCTTACCCCCAAAATGCCCTGGCCTTACACATGTGACCCAGAGTTTTAGGGATTCTGTGGACACCCTCCCCCCCTTCCATGGGCTTCAGATTTTAAAACTCCAGTTCTGCCTGGCTGGTGTTGCTCAGTGGTTGAGCATCGACCTATGAACCAGAAGGTCCCAGTTCGATTCCCAGTTAGGCACATGCCCGGGTTGTGGGCTCCGTCCCCAATGGGGGGCATGCAGAAGGCAGCCGATCAATGATTCTCTCTCATTACTGATGTTTCTATCTCTCCCTCTCCCTGCCTCTATAAAACCAGTAAAAATGTATTTAAAACTCCAGTTCCAAGCTTTTGTACTTTAGTCCCCACGTCCCATCAGTGGACAGGCCTGAAAAATGGCAAATTCCATGGAAAAATCTAACTCAATTTTCCTAGACTTGAGTAAATGTTAACGCTTCGAAATCTTGGATTGGAAATATTGACTGTTTCCCCAAAGTTATATCATGTAAGCAGTAGCTCCTTACAGGTGTGGGTAGTGCTGCACCCACCCCAAAGCACAGCACCGTGTAGCCCAGACCAGGCCAGGCAGGCTATCCACTCCTGTGGGCAGACAGGTTTGACACAGAAACTTTAATAACCAACAACTTGAAACCAGTAGAGCTGAGGGGTGACAAGAGAGAACAGAAGAGAGGTAGACCCGCCAGCCGCACGCTCCCATTCAGTATTCTTCCCCTTCTTCAGCCTCGGCTTCCACGGAATCCACGCCCACCTCTTCATAATCTTTCTCCAGAGCTGCCAGGTCCTCCCGGGCCTCGGAGAACTCCCCTTCCTCCATGCCCTCCCCCACATACCAATGCACAAAGGCTCGCTTTGCGTACATGAGATCGAACTTATGGTCCAGGCGGGCCCAGGCCTCGGCGATGGCGGTGGTGTTGCTCAGCATGCACACAGCCCGCTGCACCTTGGCCAGGTCTCCTCCAGGGACGACGGTGGGGGGCTGGTAGTTGATGCCCACCTGCCAGAGAAGGGGAATAAAGCGCTGTGTGAAGCTTCCGTCAAACCCAGAAATGGTGGCTACTTTCCCAGAAACAGAAGGCAGGTAGGCACCCTCTGGCGACCTGACAGAAGGCTTAGTTCAATCTGCAGTCTCTGAGCCCTTCTTTGTGCCAGGCAAGGTGATGGTTTCCAGACAAGGAAAGACAAGTGTCCAGAGCCGCTACGCTGGCTCGGTCCCAGCTGCCTGAGGGGCTGCCCAGCAACTATGCCATGTGGTAGGCACCCTGGTGATTCAACTGTCTTCCTTCTGAGGAAGGACACCGTCCTGGATTCTTCATAGGTTACTTTCTCCATAGGCTTCAAGAGGAGAACTGATCTCCATGGGGGAAGCCTTTCTCACCTAGTACACAACCGTGATGGTACTGCAAGGGAAGATCATAGTCCTGCTTTCCCACCAAATAATCAGTGTGCGTATAGCAGAGTGACAGGTACACTGCCAGAGGACCTAGAACCACTGCTTGGACTACAACAGCAGGTGGTCTGTGTGTGTGCTAAGTAGGAGGGAGGGGTGACATTCCAGGGCTCGGACCAAGGGGAGGCATTCCAGGCTTCAGGGGAGAGAGGGCCAGAGGTATTGGCAGCAGAATACAAACAGGGTCAGCTAGAGTAAGGGTCAGCAAACTTTGTCTATAAAGGGTGAGACAGTATGTATTCTATGCTGGGTGGGCCATGCACTGTCACAGCCACTCAATCATGTCTTTGTAGCACAAAATCAGCCACAACAATAGGCCACTGAATGAGTGTGGCTGTGTTTAGGTTAAACTTTACATAGTCAGGCACTTGTCCACCAACCACGCTGATCCCTGAACTAGAGGAAGAGAACCCAGTGTAGGAAGTCCTAGTTAAGAAAACAGCACAGGCTCTGGCTGGGTGGCTCAGTTGGTTGGAACGTCATCGGAACGTCATCCCATACACCAAAAGGTGGTTGGTTCGATTCCCAGTCAGGGCACACATCCGGGTTGCAGGTTCGAACCCTGGTTGGACCAATCTCACATCGATGTTTCTCTCACTCTAAGATCCTCCCCCCGACCTCCTGCAAAGGAAGAAACCAGCACAGCAGGCCCAGCACAGCAGGCCCACTAGAAGCAGCTGAGGGTCTGAGCCAGAGGAGGCAGCATGAGAAACAAGGGAAACACAGATCCTGGAGGGAAAGAGCAGACAGGGTTCAGTAATCAAGGACAGAACAAAGCTGAAACACGACAGCAAGGTTTTGTCTCTGTATCAAATGAAAGGCTGGTACAAACTGGGGGCTTGAGGCAAACTCAGACCAGAATTTCTAGGCTTACTGAGAGAAATAAAAGGCTGTTGCCTTTTTTTTTTCAACAAAAATATTCATAATAATTTTTCACTAAATCAAACACTTCATAGGACATTTAAATTGGGTTTAATTTCTACATACCTATGGAATCAAGTGGGATTTAATGACACCAAAAGTAATATCCCAATTTCAAATATTAACATGAATTACCAAAATGATTATAAGAAAAAAAAATCTTATTTCTCAGGCTAATAAACATTTCCCAAACTAATTCCACCACCTGAACAGGGGAACAGAGAACCTTCAGAAAATTTCAGGTTCTATTTTTTTTTAATATATTTTATTGATTTTTTACAGAGAGGAAGGGAGAGGGATAGACAGTTAGAAACATCGATGAGAAAGAAACATCGATCAGCTGCCTCCTGCACACTCCCTACTGGGGATGTGCCCGCAACCAAGGTACATGCCCTTGCCCGGAATCGAACCTGGGACCCTTGAGTCCGCAGGCTGACGCTCTATCCACTGAGCCAAACCAGTTAGGGCTCAGGTTCTATTAAAAAATATTCTTGCGCCACAGATAAACAGTGTGATGACTCAGGAGGGAAGTTCAAAAGACACCACTGGATAAATGATCACTCTGGTGCACTAACTGATGACCAAGAGCCCAGCTGCCATGGCACGGGGTATTCTCCACAAGGGCAGCCTCCCATCGCAGGGTCTGCTGCATGCTGAAAGGTAAAACCACTCGTTATCACCCAGTCCTACCTTAAATCCCGTTGGGCACCAATCCACAAACTGGATGGTGCGCTTGGTCTTGATGGTGGCAATGGCCGCGTTGACATCTTTCGGGACCACGTCCCCCCGGTACAACATGCAGCAGGCCATGTACTTGCCATGGCGAGGGTCACACTTGACCATCTGGTTGGCAGGCTCAAAGCAGGCGTTGGTGATCTCAGCCACGGACAGCTGCTCATGGTAGGCCTTCTCAGCTGAGATGACTGGGGCGTAGGTGGCCAGGGGGAAGTGGATGCGGGGGTACGGGACCAGGTTGGTCTGGAATTCCGTCAAGTCCACGTTCAGGGCCCCATCAAAGCGCAGGGAGGCCGTGATGGAGGACACGATCTGCCCAATCAGACGATTGAGGTTGGTGTACGTGGGCCGCTCAATGTCCAGGTTGCGCCGACATATGTCATAGATGGCTTCGTTGTCCACCATGAAGGCACAGTCGGAATGCTCCAGGGTCGTGTGGGTGGTCAGGATGGAGTTGTAGGGCTCCACCACGGCCGTGGACACCTGGGGGGCTGGGTAAATGGCAAACTCTAGCTTGGACTTCTTGCCGTAGTCAACCGAGAGCCGTTCCATAAGCAGAGATGCAAACCCAGAGCCGGTGCCGCCCCCGAAGCTGTGGAAGATGAGGAAGCCCTGCAGCCCCGTGCACAGATCCGCCTGAGAGAAAGCAGAGACCGTGAGCAATGCCTTTCGAAGCCACACCGCCAACCTCCCACAAGCCTAGGTCACTTCTCTGACTCCACAAGGTTAAATGGATCCCAGTCACCCCAGGTCACATGCATTCCACGGAAGGGGAGGCAAAGCAGACACAGAGATGTACGGATGGAGGCACTGCAGCCACACCAGGAAGGAGGACCACGGGTTCATGATTCTGCCTTGGGTTTTGCCAAAACGACCCCGGAAGGCTTCCCAGCACCTTCTTACCAACTTGCGGATCCGGTCCAGGACCAGGTCAACAATCTCCTTGCCGATGGTGTAATGGCCTCTGGCGTAATTATTGGCTGCATCTTCCTTCCCGGTGATCAGTTGCTCAGGGTGGAAGAGCTGCCTGTAGGTCCCTGTGCGCACTTCATCTACAAAGAGGACACATGTGCCATGGCCTTTAAGGATGATTGTTAACTCACCAGCATGACAGATGTGGGGACCGTTCAATTCTACCAAGCACGTGCTGTTCCTGGTAGGTCAACAGCATCAGTGTATCACAGGGAGGCTCTATGTAATACACAGAGCAGATCTGCAATCTATGGCTCTAGGGAGGTAAACTCAACTCACGGCACAAATACCAGCTTGACCGGTTCCCAAAGAAGAGAACAGAGCGCTCACCCTTGCACACAAGACTACATGTGCATATTTCTTTCACACCAAATGGTATAATTTTAAAAATGGTTCATACTGGACAGTCACTAGGTCCGTGTGCTTTTTGCCAGGCAGTCCTATCGGGGCACCTGTGTAGCCTGGTCTCAGACTTTAGGGTGACATTCTGTCACCTCTGGGTGACCACTGACAGGTCTGCCTTTGCAGCTCTCCTCAGGCTTCTAATTTGGAGGGACCCAATGAATGTTCTCTACTTACCTTTCTATGTCTGAGACGCAGGTT